ATTTCCTGTTTTGTTTCACCTTAGTTCTGGTCTTTTCTTTACGTTCATCACTCATTAGTTTCACCTGCTTCGTTATTATGTGCACCTGTTTTCATCTCTATTTAGGCAGCGTCCTCCCATGAGGACGCTGCCAGATTGTTCTAGACCCCAGCTCAGACTTTCCAGCGTTATATTCGGTTTTTGGTATTTGTGTTTCTGACTCGGACTGTTTTGTGGATTACCCTGTTCTGCCTTGCCCTCTTATCTCGGACTGCTCATGTGTATCGGCTTATCGGACTTTCTATACGGACTACGCACTTTGGATTTCCTTGGATGTACTGTTTGCTGGCTCTGACCTGGGACCGATACCGACCGTGAGTTTTTGTGTTTGCACCGTGTCTTGTATGGTTTTTTGTTTAGTTTTAGTTCTCTTAATAAAGAGACTGTTTTTGTTTACACACTTCCTCGTCTGGCCATTTAATTGAGTTCACAAAAACACTTTTCGGCCGCATTACGCGCGCCGTTTCTGACAGCTCTCTTATTCACTTTTGTGCACTTCATTTTGTTGCACCATTCTCACCTCACATCTACTGACCATTTGGAACAGCTACAGTATGAGCACTTTGGTCTTTTGGCACGGTCAGACAACATGTCATATAAACTAGTTGCATTCAAGCATACCCTTGTCACCCACACATTCAGGGAACCATGAAGGTAAAAGTTGCCTTATGTGACATTTTCAATTACAATATGACAAATTATGGAATTTTTAGGCCTACATCAATTTTAGACGGTAAAGAAATCTGAAAACAATATAATATCAGTTTATAGTCATTTTTTAAACATAAAGGAATAAGTAAACATGCTCAGCAATGACAACTCAAGAGTTGTGACAACTTTGTATGTTGAAACAAGATATAGTTTTTGTGCTATTTTACACTTCACCAATAAAATAAAGTAAACAGACAAATAATAAAAAATAAAAATGTTTAGCATTTAAATTAAGATAAAAATTACAATTTAAAAAAATGCAGCCTAAACATCTATTCAACAAAATGTATTTTTGTATATTATCGACCATTTATTCCAATATGGCATATACTTTGGCATTAGCTTTGTCAGTGCTTCTGTCCCCATATTAAAAACCAAAAAAGTACAACTACATTTAATTTTGACAAGACATAGACAATAGTCAAATACATTAATTTGCAAATAATTTGAAAGAATCTAGCAAGACAAAGAACTGATAAATTACGTTTTATCTATCTATCTATCTTTTTATTAATTACATTAAAGAGGGTCTTTTTGACTCCCTTTGAAACGAGCCTGAATGTAGCCTAATGTTATGGCATGAATGAAACATAATGACTACAACTTTTAAGTCCACCTTTTTATCATTTATCTAGTTAATATTCAGGTAAACAGTCATTTTGGTTCACAGTAGAAACAGCTCTTACCTGAGTAAGAGCACTACTTTCCAGGCGAGTAAAAAGCCCGCCAAGGAGAGCTCATTTCTCCTCATTGCTCTCCAGAGCCTCGGAGACCTCCGCTCTCCTCGCGCACTTGATGCTTTCAGCACCGCGAACAGCGCTCGTGCTCCAGCTGTGGTCAAACAGCAGGCGGGGGACAACTCAGTAACATACTGTAGCAACAGAAAGACTGCGAAAAATCAGCGTTCTGTTACTTCCCACTAGTACGGAAACCGGCATGGAAGCGAGGCATCTCACAGAATAACTCAGTTAAACAAAACAAACAATCTGGGCGAAGCGCGCGACAGCTATTCCATCTGCTCTGGGCTCGTTCTGTGCCCTCGTGAAGCACGGGGGGCAGAGAGACCCGCCCTCCGCTCCGGATTGGTATGATTGACAGACAGATACGCCAATCATGTAGGCTATAGCTTTGTTAATTTCTCTAGATGAATCGCATCTGAAAATAGAAGCCTGGGGCTGGATCAAATGTAACACCCACCCACGCATTATTACGCGCTCACCTCTCAGTGTGTCTGAATATCTTTATATAGCTCTCCATTCAACCATCCTCCTCATTTTCTTTTCTCTCTTTTCTTTCTCCATCTGTCTGCTTTCTGTCATTCTGCTCTGATAGACAGATTCACATAGAGCTGCATGTGAGTGTGAGTCCCAGCTGTCAAGTAGGCTATTCTGAAGACACCTGGCCATTTGTGGGGAGAGAGAAATGTTGATTGAACTTCAGGATTTAGTAACATAAGGCAAGAATGCACATGCAGTCCAACCTGTCCCTAGGCACTGTACTTGGAGAGTGGCCTGTTGTCCACTGTGTGACTCTATGTCGGCAGTTTGGACTTTAAGTTTAGTTTCTAAAATCAACATTGTCTGTGTGTGTTCTATAGGTTAGGCATTAGTGAATTGGATTTTGGGCACTAATGATGATAAAGTGATACTTCATTGAAAATATCACTACTTCCATTGTAATTGTACATTAGCAGAACAGCAATGATGCAGCATAGTTTGAATAATATGAATGTTTAAGTGTAGAATGGATGATGTTGCAGGCTGGTGTTTTTACGTCTCTATGCTGGTGAGAGCTGTGCCCAGAGGCTTTACAGTATGTTTTCAGGTTGTCTGTTCATCCATTTGTGAGGCCCAATCTCCTGAATGTGTTACCTATAATTTTATCAAATTTGACATAAATGTCCACTTGGCCTCAAACTGATTAGACTTTGGTGGTCAAGGTCAAAGGTCAAAGGACCACACAGAGACCTCACGTCCACCCGGCCCATTACTGTGAATGCAGTATTTCAGAAATACCTGAAGGGAATCTCTTCTAATATGGCACAAGCATCCACTTGAATACATGGATCAAATGATTAGATATTGGTGGTCACAGGTTAATGGTCAAGGTCACAGTGAACTCAGATCTGTCCCATTCCTGTGAATTTAACTGGTTTGCGGAGGCATATAACCGTGCAGTAATTCCAGTCTGTGAAGGAATAATTTTATAATAGCTACCTGTCAAGTTAAAGTGCATTAGGCTTCTGCAGTTTCCAAAATATGTAATAGTACTTGAGTAATGGTTTGTTTTACTACAGTACAGAAGGTTGTTTTCATTGTGACTTAAATAACTATGTGAAGTAATGAATGCACTTTTTGAGATTCCGTACATATATCACAGATGTTTTGAATATTTAAATATGATGCAAACCTTCAGAGATTAGCCAAGCAACACCAAATATTCAGATGTATACTGTAGCTTCATACTCTATGTTTAATATATGTCACTGTAATTTCATCTGCTTCTCAGGGGAGCTTTTCAACAGAAGTATCATAGCATGGCACAATTGCAGCTAATAAAATTAAAGACTCCCTTCACTCAAAATGTGTTTTTTTCTTATTTTTATACCTCATAAATATCTGACTGGAGCGCACCTATGACATGAGTTGAACTGAAGTTTTGTGTTGAGGGCCACATAAACACTTTTCCTCTGTGGCAAGTTTACATACATTGAAGTCAGACTGACATATGGCAAAATGACATTTTGAAATAGTAGCCATTTGTCAGAGGTTGAATGTTATAGCTTATTCATGTCAATTTATGAGAAAACAGTAACCTTAATATATTATTGCAGGACCCCTAGCCTGCACTGTGCCCCCACTGTTTGTTCATTTGTCTTCGTCAATGTTAGCTAGCAACACAGCTAATGGCTCATTCACTGTGCAGATGCAAGGCTAATGGCTGCTACCGGCCACTTTTAAGGTGAAATATTTTCTTCCATGTTACTCAATATATGAATTGATGTTGTTAATCAATCACCACACCTTAAATTTTAATATCACAACTCTGATACACTTTACTGATGATTGGATCTTCAAATGCTCACAGAAATGTAATGTTATGAATTTCAATTGGATTATGCAAATATTTTCTTCCTGTATGCTGCCCTCCACTATCCTGCCCAGTGTAGGTACAGGTTTATCACTTTCAGGGTGTTTTTGGATTCCTCTGCTGAAGGAGGCAGCTGTCTGTTTGCTTCCCTGAAATCTCTGTTTCAACCATGGACATGCAAACAAAAGTTATGATGTCAGAAATCGGAAAGCCAATCACAATTTACCACGGACATATCTACAGATTTTAGGAGTAGTGAGGAACCTGCTGAAACCTCTGGTCTGAGAGCATTTAGAACAACTTTTCAGTGACCGGGAGTAGGGGAAACAGAAAATATACCAGAGTGCACAGTTTATAGGGTGGACCACGGAAAAGTAGCCCGTGCACTCGAGAGCGTATTGGAGGTGGACTACTTTTCCGTGGCCCACCCTGTGGTAGCAGAAGTAGTTTTTACCTTTCATACGCTATATACTAACAGCATACTCACATGAGGCACAGTTGCTTCATATGGTTGCCCCCCTCCTCACTCACCCACTGGCCTGCACTCACACTGCACATGAAGCACACTTACATCACCACAATGCAGCTGAAGAGAAGCGCTCTCACATACAATAGCACATTATGTTGGTGTTCTGTGGCTGGGCATGGTTCATAATCACAATGTGTGTACTGTGCCCAAGTCCCAGGTCTTCCAGACGGGCCAGGGCACAGCACATTGAACTGTTCCTGGGCAAGGTATGAAGCAGTCACACTAGTCAAATGAACTGGACTTTGGGCTCATGAGTTGATTGACAGTCATGGTAGATCAGTGTCGGTGGTTAGGCAGTTGGTGTTTCATAGGATGAAAACCAGACAGAGGTTCTATCACCAGGATAGCAAGTATTACGTCTATACCGTATGTCTGTACTGTACATATGCAGTATGTCTGTACAGTATGTCATCCAGTTAAGAATTTTAAACTGAATATTAAACACCATTGACTGTATTAAAACCTATTTTAATTTGTAAAATTACCTTTGGTCCCTCAGAGGACTGTGCTGTAGTGATCAGATGTAAGCAATCAAAAAAAGATGAAAATCAAAAGTTATCATTTCATTTCAAATTTGAAGAACTTTCTGAATGATGTGTTGCTTTCTTGCACAGCAGTTTAACAGTTCCCTTACTTAACATTTAATGGAGTAGAGTCTTAATATATGGCCCTACCTGAGTAAATAATGTGTTAGAGGAGTTTGCAAAGACTTTTGCTTTTATGCTTGTTAAGTCTGCTTGCTTGCACCACCACACACAGCTTCTCTATACTTTGTTCATCTGTGCCCGCACTCAGGCCTTAGGCCTTAGAGGTACCTCTGAAGTACACAGTCGGTAACCCAGATTCACACAAAGGTTTTCATCTTACTGAAACATATGTTTCATAGAAAACATTCTGTTCCACTTGATTGGACTGTGGTCCTGCTGTACACAGTTGTATATAATTCATTGCAGCACTTCAGCCTTAATATCTGTGTTTATGATGCTGAAAATATTTTTGTTTTTGATGAAATTGCCAAAATGTATAAATTAAATTATATGTTTATTATTGGAGGTCATATAAATGCTGTAGGAACAACATTTAGCTAACATTAACAGGCTAACAGCTGCTGTTTGGCAAGAAAAATTGGAAAAAGTATGAAGACAAGTAGTTTAGATTTTTGGAAGAAAAATATCTTAATGGCTCTACTTAAATTTATATTGGTATTACTGCATACCCCAAAAAACTGTGTGTAAGAATCATTAAATATTTTCTTGATGTAGAGGAGCAGCCCCTCCTAGTTGCCTTATCACTGGCTACCTTAGCTGAAGAGCCAGAGAATAAATAAGTTACTGTCGCCACACAACTGTCTGTGGCCAGTAATTGATTCAGGTGGAAGACACCAAGAGCATTGCAGTGCAATAAGTGCAAAATAGATCCAACAGAACATAAATGAATTATGAATGATTTGTTTTGCTACTTTAAATGTTTTCTCTAAAGCTCATTTTTTAGATTCACCATGTTTGTATTGAACTTTCCAGACTATATCATAATTCCTCATCATCAAATGATCCACACATCACCATCACTAAGTACAGAAAGATCACCCACAGTAACAATGAGTAAGCTTTACAAAATGTATACTTTCTTTACAAAGCACATGCATTAGAGATATTAAACTAGCTGCTTCAGTCCCAGAGCAAAATTAATAATCCCTTATGCACAAAAAAAACTCTGCTCACTGCTCTTTTTTGTGCATCAACTGCCAAATGCTGCATGTGTTTTGTTGCTCTTTCTTTAACAGTTATAATAAAACTATAAAACTATAATGGACATACTGTATATATAACTGTAGGCTATATCTGAATGACAAAAAGGCAATACTTTAACAGACAAAAGAAAACAGCAATATTCTCTGTACCAAAGAAGGCTTTGTTTTAGAGAGTATCATGAAATCACTATGTAATTAATATGAAATTAAAATCACAATCTGCAAATAATTCACTACCTTATCACAGTCTCTGGTAAAGCTGATACATACAGAATTAAAATCTATAAATTGTTAAATTCTACATCACAAAAACACAAAACCGGTGTATTTCCCCTCATTTAAAACATAACTCATGACTATATTTTTGAAGCAGTATAATCAGCTGTTATGAATATGGAATCCTTGCTTATTGGTTTAGATAGATACTTTTATTGTCATTTCACAAAATATACAACAACATTTAGATGTGTCGTGGCTAGAGTGTGATGCTGACTAAATTAATTCAGACAAACCATCCCAATTTAAAGGATCATTTAATATTACAATTATTCTGAATAGAGTAGTATTTAAACACATAATCTTGTAGTTAGGGAACAGAGAACAGAGAACAAATTCACTCCTCCTGCCATGGAATAGATACAGTATTACATGAGACTTGTCACAGAGTCAGACAGTCTTTGTCAGCCCACAGTCAGTTGTCAGTCTTAATTCAGCGTCCCCCCAGCCGGCTGGGTCTGCGTCCCCACAAAGTACACGGTTTACTGTTCCAATAGCATTGTCATCCTCTCTCCCCCTTCTTCTGCTCTAACCCAGCTTTTTATCTGCTCATACTCACACAGCCCTTCATGGCCGGAGCCATGAAGACACGGTCCCATGCCACCTACCCACACACACCATTTCTTCCTAGCATTGTCTAAACTGTCCAGTACATGACCTTCTAGGTCACATTGACCTAGCACACATTTCCTTTTTCTAAACCTGAACAGAGCACACGAACAGTTCACATAAGCTGCAGCTACAGTATATCCATTCCCTATCTAGTCTTCCTCGGGATGTTTACCCATAAGTTAATCAAGGGGGACACAGCCCAAGATATTCTTGCCTGCGCCAGGAACAGATCAAGCTTCTGTACACACTTAGCTCAGCCTTACATCCTTACACAACTAACACAAGTATTATCTAAATATGAACTACATACTGTTCTATTACATATTACCTCTGGAATCTTGTTTATTGCTAACCATTACAGTTGCACTTCAGGGTACAACTATGTAAATACCGCTGCAGAGCTGCTCCCGTACCACACCAGGATGCCGTGCGTCAGGACACTCTCAATGGCGCTGCGATAGTAAGATCAAAGCAGGTGTTGTGTGAGATTTATCTTGAGTGTCCTTAAGAAGTACAACCTCTTTTGTGCCTTTATGACCAGCATATTAGTATTAAAGGTCCATGAGAGGTCCTCTGCAATGTGAATACCCAGGAATTTCAAACTTGCAACCCCCTCTATGTCCTCGCCGTTGATGTACAGTGGTGTGTATACCTCCTTATTCTTCCTAAAGTCAATTATCAGTTTTTTGGTCTTTTTGATATTGAGTGTGAGATTATTTTCTTTGCACCACGCAGTCAGCCCTTGCACTTCCTTCCTCCCTGTAGGCAAACTCATCATTCTTATGGATCAACCCTACCACTGTCGTGTCATCTGCAAATTTGATAATGGCATTGGTATTATATGATGGGGTACAGTCATGCGTGTACAAGGAGTAAAGGAAGGGAACCAGCACACAACCTTGTGGGGTTCCCGTGCTCAGTGTTAGGGTGGAGGAGTGGTAGCCTTGGTGGTTGTAAACTCTGCTGATGGTGATACTGATGTCTTGATTGCCAGAGAGTCTTGTCTGGTTGATCCAAAGATTTTCTAAATTGGGAGCCTAGAGGGGTTCAAGAACTAGTCAAGAGTGCACCACAATAACTCAGCACATGACCTCAAAATAAACTAAACCAATAATACAACGATAAGCTTGGGCTTACAATACATACTTTTGTAAACATTCAGATTTTTCAACAGTTTGTACAGAAGTTCAGTAAACCTCCAGGCACCATGCATCCCCAAGGCTCATAGTTGCATATTGACCTCACCTCCCTACATGGGAGGGGACAGTGGTGCAATGGGTAGAGCAGTCGTCCCCCAACCAGAAGGTTGAAGGTTCAAATCTCAGTGCCTCCAGTCCATGGCAGATGGCTGCCATTGGTTCTGTAGCGGAAACAAATTCCTTAAAATTCCAGTAAAGGTGATTATCCTTCTCCTAAACTATCAGTCTGAAGTCTAGAGATACTTTCCCATTGAAGTGAATGGGAAACTGGTAGCCTGAAGTAACAGTGCCATCAAGTGCACATAGCAAGCAAATATGTATTTGTTTGCCACAGTGTCTTTCTTGATACCACCGCTAAAGGTGGAAAATGTTCTTTTCTACATACACAGCTTTGAGGAATAGTCATGACTGCAGTTGTAACTGCCCGCTCTCCTACAATAGCTTCCTGTATTGCTGTCCTATTGTCCTTTGGCAGGAGCCTGGGCGGATCGTCTGCGAGGTGGGAGTGGCCAAGGTACAAAAGCCCTAGGGTATGTGTCATGTCTGCTATAAGATTATTCCTATGTCCACAGTCAACTTGGAAGGCATTCCCGGTGACATAGGACGTAGCCAATTCCAAGTTTTTTATATTGGATCTGCGGACCAAGGAACGAGGACAGTGTTGGAGGAGCCATGACCAAGGAAACATAAGCGCATCCTCCATGGAAGTTTTTTATGAAATAATGCACCACTTTGCAAGATTTGATTCTTATAAACTCTAGTTACTTTATAACCTTTAGCTACTTTTCAGTTCTTCATTGTCTTTTAGTTACTTTTCATACCTTTACTTTCCTTGCTTATACATGTATTGATGATTGTCCAGAACTTCTGAGCTGTGGTTACTTTAATACATTTATTTTCCTTGCATATATATCTTCCAATTGTATTGATGAGAGTCAAGAGATACTGAAGTAGAAATTGACTACTTTAACTTCTGTGTAGACATAGTGTTTGTATTAATGAGGTCCTGAGCAGGAAGGAGTTAACAGGAGTTAACCTACTCGCGCCAAATGAGCAATAGGATTACAAAGTGTTGAGTATAGTACCTCTGTCCAGGGCGGAGCAGCCCAAGAAGATACATGTATTGTTAAAACGTAATTCATGGCTCAGATGACAGATCTCCTGCAGGAGCTCTGTCGCTCTGATCCCAGCGCTGTAATGACTTCACTGTGCCCAGACTTTCAGTAAACTTTCTTTTGATTTTAAACAGTCTTCTCCTCTCTTCACTTCTCGTGCTTCCAACAAAAGAATTAGGTTAATTTCTAACACTTTATCTGAAATCAAGTGGTGATTGGACATTCACCTGAAGGATCTGAGGAAAGCACATCCTCAGATATGATAATAACAATATGTTAATAATGTGTTAACAGTGTTAATAACAATAGTCCTCTCTCCTCACGTTTACCTCACATCTTTTCCTTGCATTATACATGGGTAAGACTAAGGAAAAAACTCAAGTGAGGGAAATGACATTATCAGAGACGTGAGATGTACCTCTACTCTCACAAGCTGCACCCTCTCTTTCACTGGGCAGCTTCAGCATTTCCCTTTAGTGTCCACAGCCCCACAGTTTGCCTTTGTTTACTTCTTATAACACTTCACACATCCACTCACTGTTCACTCACATCTCACATCGTCAACTTAGTTTTAGATGGCATACAGTAGCTTTTGTTTTGTGCAAGGGAATGAAGATGAATGCAGATGACTTCATTCTCTTGCACACTTTTTTGTAATTTTCACTCATTAATTTGAACAAATTCAGTATTACTCTTAGTTTTACGTTTGTACTCATGACAGGTTTGTGCTTGGATTACAACTCAGTTTCAAATGCTGGAGACTGAAGAAATACAGCAGAATGTGAAGCACTGAGGAGTGGAAAACAAAATGATGTATAATACATACCACGAATATAGGGCTGTTACGGGGTATGCAAGTTAGGTAAGTTAATGTCCGGCAACGACGGAGCGTCTGCCAGAGGTATAAATAAGGAGGAAGGTAATCATCGGGATGCACCCCAGCTGTGTCCACTGACAAACGAGTCGCTAATTACTGAAAGCAACACAGCTGAGGTGCAGATCCCGCAGGATCGAGAGAGCAGAGGAGAGAAAGGTGGAGAATAAGCAAGTCGCGCCGAGCGGCCCTGACAGATTTTAGTGGCGTGATGGTGATCTTCAGTCCACATTATCTTATCTGTATCACTGTCAGCTGTTATTGTCTCTGGGTGTCTCTGTGAAAGATCAACTAGAAGAGAAAAAACCAGTCATGATATGTTGGGCACACATGCACCAAACTGCAGGCGCTTCATGCACATAGTGTGTGAGTACAGAGATGACATTCCTCTGAGGGAGGGATGACTCACATTTAGGCCATCCTACAGCTGAGAGTAAAATGCTGAACCAACCACAGGTTCTGCTTTCCTCTCCCACTAACCAGCTGCTTTGCAGTGTGTTACTCTGTGGACTTCCTCTGTCTTGTTCATTCACAGCTGCTGGAGACAAACATGCTGTCAGCATTTTATTAACATGTTTCATTTATAAACAGTCATCATTAGTGGTAAGATTACTTCATGTTGTTCAGACTGCAGTACATGCATAGTAGCTCTTGTCCATCCAGACCCTTGGAGATCCTTAATAAAGTGGCTTCTACTATAGTTTACAGTCCATTTTGATTGTCATGATTGGTCTAGGCATCTGTAAACACATCAGCCTAAAAGCTTTCACATCAAGAAGATGCTATGTTTGTGGGTGGAGTTTGTTAGAACTGGACATCCTCCCTCGGCTTTTGGGTGGGTTAACATCAATTGCACAAACCTGTAAAAATGTATTTTTCCTCAGATTGTAGAATAGAAGTTAAATTTGTTGTGTGTTATGTTACTGTTACTGAGAAGGATCTGCTATACCACTGAGAATTTTGTTCAGAATGCTGCTACTATGAAACAAAGATTTCAACTGAAAGCTATTTCTTCTCTATCCCTTATCCTTATGAAAAAAAAAAAGAAAAAAAAAAAAGGGAGGCGACAGTGGTGCGGTGGGGAGAGCAGTCATCTCCTAACCAGAAGGTTGAAGGTTCAAAACTCACTGCCTCCAGTCCATGCACCGAAGTGTCCTTGGGCAAGACACTGAACCCTCAAGTTGCCCTCAATGGTTAGAGCAATCGGTTGAGTTGGCGCCACAGATGGCTGCCATTGGTTCTGTACTGGAAACAAATTCCTTGTGTGTAACATACTTGGCCAATAAAGGTGATTATCCTTATCTGTCCTCTTTTATTGATGAGACTTGTAAAATAAATTCTGCTTTGATCTGTTAGATATTAGATTAATGTGTTAGTAATGCCGTTTAGTAAGATTCAAAGTCTGCTCTAGTCTGTTTTGTTTCAAGGTTAGCAGACAGAATGTTGATTCTGAAAAGTGAATCATGGCACCAATTGTTTTCTTGTAATCTTGTAGCTTGTGTTAGAATATTATGTCTGAATGAATTCCTTAGCTACGCACCACGTGACAACATACACACACGTTGAGCTTCCTCATTTTGTTATGACTAGGTAAAACGCAGTGGCTCCAAGCATGTGGAGCTCTAGATAAGAGATGGAGTCTGCGGACCGACTTCATCTGGGGTTCTGTAATCTTTTTGTGTAAGGGGTTAGCCCAAAACTTATAAATGTATTAGGCTTTGTGTGGCCAGGGACTCCTCTCTCCAGCAGCCAGTGTGTGTGTCTCTGGAAGGGGGAACAACCCGCGTCGTGTTTGTAACTTTTACTTATGGTTTAAAATAAATCAGCACTAAATGAAGAAAGACGGACTCCTTCATTATTCAGAGCTGTCCATAAGAACTGGGGTATTACAGATCTTTCAAAAGTCACTGAGCAAAGTGAGTATAAGATTTTCCTATATTATCACCTTTTCTGCTGACTTGTGCTGTCAGATCGGCTTTTAATCAAAAGCGGAACACTGCAGACTGCTGACTTGTCATGTAGTATTAAGTCGTCGTCTGATCAGCTACCTCTTTAGTGCCAGTAACAGTTAACTATCAGTATGTTAGATAGAAACAGCCCTTTTACAGATGTGCTTTCTATCAATTGTGTATGATGGTGTGGCTTTACGACTGAGGATGATACAGATACAGAAAGCTATGGAAATGAAAGTTGTCCTGAACTTTGTCCTCCTCACTTTTGCAATTCTGAATGCACCTCTATGTACGTATGTCTGCGTGAGTATCAGGTAAGGATCATATTTCAAGAATGTGTCACTGTGGGCATGCCCCAACCCTATTCACTGAGAAAAAAGAAAGGAAACCTTTCTTAATCCAAAGTCCAGCACTGAGGTGCGCTTGATTTGCAGATGGACTCTCACACCAAAACAGGGAAGGTTTACCTCCAACCACACAAACCTGGCAAAGTGAGTATTACCATTTATTCTCCTGTATTTTCAATGAGCCATTTTAATGAGCATATCTGTTCAAAGGAAGAATAGGACATGAGGTTGACCATACAGCCCTGTTTTCTTACATGGTTTAATTGCTTTGTGCTATGATTAAAGCAGTAAAAACATAATTAGAGTGACCTGCTAATGCTGTCAGAACGCCACATAAATGGTAAATATGTAGCTAAGAAAGTTTACGTACTATAATGTCATATTGGTTTTTAATACCGCGTGGCTTTGTGCTTTATGTATTTAACAGATGACGTTTAACACACATACAGGTATCTCTGGGTCTCATTCCACAGTTAGCTGAGGAAATGACACGAGTCAGGTCCTCGGTAGAAAAAGCCCTCAAACCTTTCTGTGTATTGCTCAAATGAAACTAGAGCAGGAATCCAAATGAACAAGTTGAGACACAGCACAGTTTCCTTGCTACACATTCCTGTGCAGTACCAACAGATAGCACACGCTTGTGTGGTATCACTACACTGGGCAATTTACTGAATCTCTGAAAATGCATCTTACTCACAATCATCACACCTAGAACAATGTAAGTATGTAAGATCCATTGAAAATTACTGGTAACCTGCTGTAAATGCTCCGTTTTAATGCATTACACGAAATATTAGCTGTATGTCTGTTAATGTCAGTAAACTACAGTTATCAGTTTGTAATAATTTGTTACTTAAAGGCACCATAAAACTGACAAACAAGGTCAGTATCCCCTCTTTTATTTTGAAGGGAGGACTGGGTGAGAGATGCCTGGAGGATTTTCTTGTCTTTCATTCTGTTTATGTGGTTGACGCAGATGGTGTGACAAATGTTTACCTCACACATGCAGGGGATTAAAACTAAGTATCCTATTCATACCAAAATGGTTTAGGTTGAGTGTAGAGTATGTGCATATGGAGGTGGAAGGTTGACATAATCTAGAGGAGGAGGACAACGTATGTGGTCCTACTATACTTTATATGAAGTAGGAACAGTATATTTACAGGCTGGAAACTAGCTGCTGACACAGTTCTGCTCTGTTGTGACCACTGTCACCCTGAGCACCCTTAATCAATTAATAACTTCTCTGTCATTAACCATCTGTCTCTGCCTTCTCAGAAATGGAAGCCAGTGTGGTTGTCTCTGTTTCCTCCCAGTAGCAGTGGAATGGGTCGACTGCAGATCCAGGACATGGGAGGTACAGCGATCTTACAGTGTCTGCTTCTATCACTATTTGTCCTAGAGTGGTGTCAAAGGAAAGCTCCAGTTTAGTGCAACTTTGATCTTATTCTGGTAATTTGAGCCATCATTTCTATCAGTTATGGCCACACTGTACTGACAAAGTGCATTAAGTTATTAAGATGTTGGAGCATCGTTCCATTGAATTTCATAAACCTTTTTTTTTAAATAGAATGTAAATTCTGCAGTATTTCCTGATATATTATTACTGATAGGAAGGACCACACCTACATTGTTATAAAACCACTGAATTCTCCTGTGTTGAAAGGGTTGGAAGGTGGGTGGCAAGATGATGATTAATAAGATAGGACAGGAGAAACACAAAATGATGTGTATTTAGACATTCTTCCCAAGTTTACCTTTTCCCCTGTGATGTACTTTATAATTCTATCTTTGGGGCAGATGAAAAGTCACTTTCTGGTTGAACTGGTTAAAAAATTACAATGTAAGTCTTGTTTCAGTGCTTTGAAGACCCACACAAAAACAAAAGATAAAAAATAAACACAACAAAACTTTGTAAGAGTACAGTTTTGTTTATGCTAAAAAAAGAGGTTTCATTAATTGCAAAATCCCAGTTACTGATGTCAGAGCAGGTGCTTTAAAAAAATGAACATGCAAAATTAAATTTATTTAATTTAAGAAAGCTGTAGTGAGAGATGTAGCAATCCTAAGCGATAGCAACATCAGGAAGAAGGAACACGAGAAGCTCGAGAAATACCAAGGGCTGAAAGAAGAGCTAGAAAAGATGTGGAAGGTGAAGGCACAAGTATATATATATCAGAGTTACTTTTTAATCATATTCTGTTTATAAAACTTGCCACCATAATAAAGGCTTTTTAATTTTTTCAAGATAAGTTCTTTGGTTGCTTTTTCAGTTTATTAAGGAAGTTCCACATTATCTACCAAAGGTCTTTTTTCCCCCAAGAGTTCCAAGAAGTTCTCCTAATCTATGGAGCTTTAAAAATGTTTATTATTATATTTTATGATTTATATTTAGTGAGCTGACTGAGCAACACTTGACAAAAATACACGTGCTGTTGGGATGTGTACATTGGAGATGCTTCCACATAAACAGAAGATGTGTTGGTCTAGAAGCTCAGCTAAAACCTTCTTGTAACCTCCCCATGATAAAAAAAAAACAAAAAAAAAAAACAACACAACAGTTACAGCAGTACAAATACTGGCTTTCAAGAATTCTTGCTTGATTTCTTCTTCGGAAATTCTACTCACACCTCTTAGTTAAAGGTAGTCCCTGTGGGTATTTGGCATTCAGAAGAGCATGTTGCCTGATGCAGCTCCTTCTCCCTGAGGGAGACTGTGTAGACTCAGAGAAGATTTTCTTTGCTGAAAATGGGCTTGGCATAATGCAAAGTGTGTGTAACTGCTGTCAGTATGTTTGACAATATATTGGTAAGGTGGTGTTTTTGAGAGTATGTATGATTATTTCCTACTATTGTAAGGTTTGTTTGTTTTTTTATTAAAAACAAAAAAAAAACTTCATACAAGCTTCCAGATCCAACTGAATGAGGTGTACCTCTGCTGCTGGGCTTGTGATTTAACCTGACCTGTCTCTGTCTGTCCATCATGTATGCTCCAGGAGGTAGTGGAGGTGACCATGGCGCTGGGGGCAGGAGACACTACCACCATCCTCGTGGGGACAAAAAGCTGAAGGTGGTCCGACTGTCCGAGCTGATCAATGTCCTCAGACTCCCTCCAAACGCCGAAGCCTGTCCCATGGTCAGCCTGTCTCCTTGTTTCTAATCATTGCCTGTATCGGTAATGGTTAAGTAAATACTACAAGCTGCTGTTTGTGCTGCTCTCAGGAGAACATGTCAGCATTTTGTGTGGAGACGCAGGACAGAACAATGGTGTTTGCTGCCCTCAAAGACGAATGTATGGACTGGGTAGAAAAACTGTCCCATAGCACATTTCAGGTGAGAGTGAAATAAGAATTAGATAAGTTGTGTCAATAGTTAGTACCTTGATAATCACATTAATAATACATTTATACATTCTGAAATGTTAAAACAGGCCCTAATTATGTAAAGCGGTATATCATTTTTTAGGAGGAGATACACTTTTACTTGCATACATTCTTGTACTGTTTGGATAAAAAGTTACTTAAATTACTTAGCTCTCACTTTACTGACTGTGGTCATTCAGAATGAAGAACCTTAGCTGACTGTAGCTAACTTGTAGCAGGACCTAGAGATCTTGTTCATGAGAGCAAGAGAATGACTCCTCACCCTGATCTCGGTTCAGGGGCTAACACAAGTTGTCAATTTCTATCCTGTCTATGCTCAAACTGAACGCTAGTGGACGTTACTCTTTACTGCAGAGAACGATATTGTTATCAACAGTTCCATCTGTGTTCCATTCATGGGGCCATTGTGCATTATTTTTTGTGATTATTTTGTCAAAATGAACATGTTAGTTTGGCAGCTGTATTAATTTTATACCTAGTATATAAATCAGTTTGAATGCAATGTTTGGTCTATGTGGATCTTTTCTAATCTGACATAATAACTCTGTGCCTTCCTCTCCCCTCACTGGTCTCTGTCTCAGCGAGGAGGGGACTCACACTCCAGTCAGCTTCATATGGAGGAGAACCAGATATATGCCTCAGCAGATGATGGTGACTTTCCTGTTACTACATTTTAATCTTTTCTCATTCTCACATGTGTGTAACTGGTTTGACATTTTAACCAACACATATACATGCATGCAACAAACAGCTAATAGTACAAGGGACAAACAGAATCATGTGCAGTTATCCATATTTTGGCATAAATATGAGTATTTAGAATACAGTGAATAATACCTCAGAAGTATTGTCTCTAGACATTTTGTTGCGGCTCTGGGTCATCAGTGAAATTTGTATTAACTAACTGCTATCCTTCACAATTGACACCTTCAACAACAGGTACTTTGTGTTTGACCATCAAATCAGGCTTCAGTGAAGTGTCCTTTATAACTAGATCTTGTGTGTGCAGTTGATTATGGTGTTAGAGAAAAGCACATGGAGTCACCAGGCACATTAGGATTTATCATTTGGGTAATGAACATCTACAACAAATTACACAATACTGTCTTTTTTAAATCAGTATATATAACTCCTAAGCTTTATACTAACTAAAGCACTTCATACTTGAGGGAAGCTTAAAGGTAACAAAACAAAGTTATGCTTACATTCAGAGCCATATTCTGTGTTTATCCTTGAGCCATAATAAACACTTTGAATACATTTCCATCCTCATTCAATCTTTATGGAGCCATTTTCTGGAAGCTGGTGACACCTGCATTGTCTACACCCATGCTTGCTTGTTAGCAGCCTTATAATATCTCACCTTTGTTGGTACATTGCTACGTTTCTTAGCACATCACAGCTTCCAACATCAGTGGAATAGCATGACCAGCACCACTTAAACCCAAGTGTACAGTATGTGAATGTGTCCTAATGACAAAACCAAATCCCATCTTTAAATCATGGCTTTGTGCTCAGCTCTATCAAGTTGGTTTCATAGTAATTACAGAACACATTATTTCTTTCCAGTCTCAGAGTTTTGGATTGTGATACAGAAGACAGATGCAGCAACACGTTGCGGTCTGCAGGGGTCATACTGGCTGCAGGTAGGACAAGAGGCACTGCTGCTGAAAGAAACCCAGACGAAGAACACTGTGAGAGAATGGCCATATGAGCTGTTGAGACGATATGGAAAAGACAAGGTACTGCTCATATGTTGTCCATTAAAACTGACTTATACAAGTTTCATTAGGAGTGTTGCAGTGGATTGCTTTTCATTCTTATAACTGTTTGTTAGATAAACATACTTCATGTGCCTTTTTGTGTTTTCTTACCAGCTGGCTTTAACCATCGAGGCAGGCCGACGCTGCGACTCTGGTCCTGGAACATTTACTTTTGAGACACAGCAGGCCGAGACAATCTTCTCCCTGATAAAGAGTACCATAAAGCGCAAGACTGCTTCTCCCAGCAACCAAAGCCAAGAGAATGAGAAAGTCATAACCAACATACAGACTCATTCCCCTCTTCCCGAAATACCCGATATGAGCAGCATGGCTGCATTTCTGGAGACCAAACTGAGGACACAGGAGAGGAAATGTGCTGCTGCAGAAGAGAGTGCACATGGTCCAGAAGATCTGGCTGGTCAGTCAGAATGTGTATCAGCACAGCCAGCTCCTGTCACACTCATGCCTCTCCCGATGATCCCTACACATGACATCCCCTCTGTAGGTCAGCAGAGTGGCCTTTCAGATGGCATATATGCTGATCCAGCTGAGTGCCTCCAGTCTGTACCAAAGCCACAACCGACTGCGGCTCTGTATTTAGACCCTGCCACTGTTCTTCCACTCAAACCCCCAACAGAGCCTGGTCCTCCCCTTCCAAACTCCTCCAGCTCACATCCCTGCTTTAACATTGATCACCCAGATTCAGTCTACTCAGAGGTGTTCGACAAAGTCAGTTCAGTCCAGAACAAACAAGCTGTTCAGAGCACAGGAAAACCGAAGTGTGTTGCAGATGATGAACCCATTTATACTGAACCAGTGAAGGCAGCAGACGTTTGCCATAAAAATGAAACCAAACCCGATCCATTTGCCCACCTTTATGCGCGCATCTGTAAGACAGCACCGTCCTCGAGCCCCTCGACAACTTCTAGCATCGCCACTTCCTGCTCCACTTCCTCTGTCTCTGTTACTGCAAGTACAAGCGCAGCAAAAGACACAGACCAGTCTCCAGATGACGTCATCTATGAAACCTTGGGCAACATTTAATGACTTGATACCAAAATACTAAACCCAGGCTTTGAACAGTCTGACATCTGTTTTTCTATTGTTTTAAATGATTGCTGGTAAATGTAGGAGTTTTTGAGACAACATACTGTACTGTACTAGCATTTCTCCTGCATTAATGTACTTTCTATTTAATGTGTGTATAAAAAGTATTTTTTACTTTTATTTACTATTTTAGTATTTTCATAGTTTTCAGTAATATGAGTATGACTGAGGTCTCAACAAGAGGACTTACTTCTACTGTATTTCAAGTGTTCCTACCACACACTAATATTTTTAGTATTATACAGCTCATCCAACCATCCATCCAAAAAAAAAAACCAGTAGCTAACCCATTACCACATATCAAACAGCTGTTTTTGAGCTAGGGTCTCAATGCAGGAGCTCCCACTTTATAGGTGAAGAAATGTCGATCCGCGTTAAGTTCCAGGTGAGACGAGTTCAGTCTTTTTTTTTATTACAAGACAACATTTAGTATTTTATCGCATTTCCTAAAGTACATTTTTGTCATTACTGTGGATTTTGCTTTTTTGTCAATCTTAGATTTAAGATGCATTTCAAACACATTTCAAATACACAACATTAACAGATCAATTACATTTGCTTTCGTTCTAGTCAAAGTATGCCTGTTGAATAAATAAGGTAAGTATTAATCAATTTACTGAGTTGTGTCTTCCTGTTCTCCCAGAGAACTGGTTTGAGTACGATGTGTCTAAGAATGTTTTCTGGCTGTTTTCCTAGTGAATGCATGCCTGATTCTAGAAGCATTCAGAGGTGTAGAAAAATGCCCTTTTAATAAATATTTAATTTGTATTGTACCTGATCTTTTCAGGATATTATGAGGCTGGGCTGTAGGTCTTACCAAGCTCTTAGCAGCTGTCAACTCTCACGTAATTGACAGAACAACACAGCTAAGTGGGCTGTAGCGGCTCCAAAGATGCTGGCTGGTCATATGTTGAACATACTGCTCTCTTCTATTATGGACCATATGATTATTTTACAAAGCTCTGCTTACAAACTTGACCATGTAGTAAATGTGTCAAAAAATTTGTAAGCTTGCGTACATGTGCTCGCATAGGTTCCCATCACTGCTTGTGAAAATAAGTTTGTAAAAACTAAAAGCATAAACCTGCAGAATGGAGTTTGCAGCCAAAAACCTAAATGTACAAGCCTGCAAAATTCAGTTTACAGATACAAACCACTGTTTCCAAGCACACGTTTTTTTTTAATAATCTGTTTTTCCATATAGTACATCTCTGCACTTTGACAGTGTTAGACTGTAAAGGAGGCATCAAACCAAACTACCTTGTACTTTGGCATCTGTTGCAGCATTAGGGGATAATTCTGAGTCTCTGTAAAGGGCTGACAGTCTGTAAACACACAGCTTATGTGGACCTTTACCAGTGCTTCTTAAAATCTAACTACATGTACATATTTAAAATAATTTTTAAAGGGCAACATTGGTAATTTTGTATGTTATGCACACAGTCTAAAACCAACAAAGAATTTTATGTACTTACAGTACTGTAATGTCTGTGAATGTCAAGACCAGTTTAGCTTATTCATCAACCTCCGCTGTTGTCTGAAAACATTTAAAAATGTGATGTTGCCTGAATTGACAGCTACCAAAATGGACAGTGCTCTGTGCTTTCACGCTGTACTAGATACGTATTTTGGTGAAACAATTTAATGAGTGCAATATGATACATACATTGTTTCTGCAATAACAGACATTTATAAAATGTTCAAAGTGATGTATGAAGAAGCCTTTTAGACAGCTCTAAAAGCTGTGAAATGAAGACAAACTCAGAATGTTCCCTTAGTAACAAGTACACAAGTGTATTATTTTGTTTTATTTATATATGCAAGCAATTTATGTCTTTACAAATAAAAAAGCCACTGTCTGCTCAAGCTGTTGGCACAGATATGTACAAAAGTGGAGGAGTGAATCAGATAAAGCCTGCTACTAAGCAACCAGAATGAATTACAGAAAGTCTCCAATATTATGGACAAACATAAAAAAAAACAACTACTCCCAACGTCCAAAATGTCCAACCTGACATAATGCATATGGATCTGAAACATGATGATCAGTTTAAGGTCACCGACCAACATCATCAGCTTTTAGATCCATGGTTCAGTTCATGATGGACGAGAGCTGAATCTGTTCAGGCACAGAGGATCTGATTTTACATCCTGCCATACAGAGCTGAGGTTTCATCAGAAAAAGATCTAATCTTTCTCACAGAAGGTTAGAAATGACATTTCATGTTATTGAAATTCATGCTTTACCATGCAGACACGGTTTCCTGACTCCTGTCACAAATGCGTGTGGGCAGGATCATGGAATGGCAACATGAGTCCACGTTCAGCATGGTCAGTGGGTAAACAAGAAGGACGCAGGATTATGTCAATACACATATTCATCTTTACAAGGAGATGTAACTTAGAGAATAAATGAGGAGACAAATGGAGAGCAAGCAGCTCACATCCCCTTTCTGATTAAAACAGCAGACAGATCTGTTCATGGCTGCCTAAATAGGGAATCTTAGTTTTTATGTGATTTGGCTTCAGTTCAAAGACTTTGATGCTTCACACAAATGAAAAACTGAATATTTTCAAGTTTATTTTGCCATATTCCTAAGTGGAGATGAATTTCAAAAGGAAACTGATATCAGCCAGTGTTAGTTTCCAGCATCCCTCTGAGTCAAAGTATCAGCATTCACTGAGTGTAGCAGTCTAGACGCAGGTGTCATTCCTCTTGTGATTCTCTCTATATTTGCTTTAGAAGTAGCTTAATTTATTATTTAGGCTTTTAGTGGACACCAGGAGCTGTGGTGTGAATGTAGCCTAAACTCCCAGGGAGAGGAAGAGGATGTGAGCAGAGGTGGGAGCAGGATAATGGGTGGCCAGAGCAATACATTACACCGCAAATCCGCTTTATTAGGATAAACAATAAATAACACCATGATCATATCACTTAAGACTTGCAATCATAGATTCATGCACTTTTATGCCAGAAATTTACGGGAATGGATTTCTTGTTTACATCTTGATTTTGTCAAACTGCTACAATATATTGCTCTGGTGATAAACAACTGAGAAAGCAAGTTAGCTTAGCAACACCATTAGCAAGAAGAACCGCAATACTGCACACTGAAAAATGGAAAATGAAACAAAAGCAGCAGAACAGCGCCAGTGGGAAAGAATTATATTTTTTTGTTTGTTTTGTTTTAATCATTAAAATTATGACCATTGAATGCATAACCATGCCACAAACAACAACTAGAATTACTGTTTTTTTTGTTTGTTTTTTTAACCTAGTATAAGATTATCTTCATTATTATGAATTCATTCATTTTCATCATTATTTCTTCAGGTTATAACCAATGCTGCAAGACTATACACAGGTCCCACAATGGGGATCTCAATGCACTTACACACCAAGAATAAGAGAGAGAGCTCACAATGGTCAATAAGTGCACAAAAACAATTTTTTTCCCTTTTATCTGAGGTTAAAAACACTGACAAGACATCCATTGTCAGGCAATGAAATGGTCGAATACTGTTACTGTAAAACTAGACCCTTAAAAATACTGACTGTACTGTATGCAGCTGAGATGCACCTGAACAGGACACGAGTCTGATGGAGTCTCCCTTCACTGACACTGATGGTTGACACTTCTTTTTATTCAGCTGCATTTACACAACACAAAGAAACAGATCAAAACTCTGTTTTACCTATACAGCCTTGGAAGAAATTAGATTATGTATGGTTTGTGAGAAAATCCCAGGCAAGCATAGCTTTAATGCCTCTATGAAAAATCAGCCACTAAAGATGTTATTGCATGTTTTGTTCACATGGTTGTATCCTCTGTATACATGTGAAACCTCACAGGTTCTCTTTGACTAATATTAAAATCAAACAGCCAACTATGAGATCCATGTGGTCACAGCCTTCATATGACACTGCTCTGATATGGTCAGTGCCTGAGGTGCCATCTTGCGAACATTTCTGCCTCTTGAAGTACTATGCTGATGTTTTTGGACATTTCACTTTATTTACCACAAATAACATATTGTATAGTCTACATTATTGCCAAACACTGCTAAAACATTACTTTAAAATATTTAAATGTTTTTATGCCTCTGAGCCAGCGTAGCCGTGGCCGGAGGCAGTATGCTTTCAGGTTGTCCATCTGTCCACCCCGTTCTAGTGAATGCCTTGAGGGGATTCCTTCAAAGCTGGTATAAACATTCACTTGGACTCAAGGATTAACTGAGTAGATTTTGCTGGTCAAAGGTCAAAGAACTAGGTCTCATTCTTGTGAATTTGCTTGGCTGACAGAGGCATAAAACCATGAGGCTGTAATTCTAGTTACTACCTTTAGTCAAGATATCCATTACCATGTAAAAAACATCTTGCAGAATCTCAAAACCTGACAATCCGTGGCACACATTTATTTTTACATAATTTCTTCTCATTCAAGAAAGCTCCCATTATTTATGTGTGTGTAAATGCAGCTCTTGTAGAAAGTAGAAGCTCAGGACACTGGGTGTGAACCAGCTCCTCCAGACTCTGCCAGCAACAGGAAATCCTTCTCCTGGCTGCTCACCTCAACTGTTTCACATACAGTATATGTATATCTTTATACAGCGTTAATGTAGGTACAGTGCTTAATACTGCCCACAACAAAAGGAAAACAAATTCATTTTTTCAAATTAAATGAGTTCACATTTAAACAGTTTCAGAGATTAAAAGTTGATAATTAAATAGTGAAATGATATTGGTGAAAAGTAGAAGAGCAAAGAATTATGGCTCAGAATGATGGCGGTGGTGGAGGTGTGTGTGTGTGTGTGTGTGTGTGTGTGTGTGTGTGTGTGTGAGCGTGTGCGTGTGCTGATAGTCTCATCAAGTAACACCAGTGTCATCACCACTGTCACCACCGTCACATCATCAGGACAATACGCGTTCTGAAGACAAACTGAATTCCCTCTCAGTCATCTCTACTGGCCGATAGAGAGTCATCGCTTTCCTTCACAGCTAGAACCAGGACGTCACAGTTATCTTACTCTAATGGATGGTTCAACACTACCTAACAGATAATACAAACATAACAGCCCTACAGTTTAACTGGATCAAATTTCAAATCTCCTTTTAAACACTGTATAAGAACAACATTCTTCTACTGGGATCAACATTATCCTGATTTTTGGCATCATTTCTCTAGGTTAAATCAGTTCTCTTAAAAACATTAAAACTTGACTATGCTTAGAATTGGACTCCATCATGAAAATATTTAAAATCCAATCTGTGCAGATTAAATGAAAAATGATGAAAATATTGCAAAGTTGCATCCAGACAGTGCTGCTGACAGCATCGCAAACATAAGCAGATGAAACTCAGTAGATGAACTGTGAGTTGAACAGTCTTTAAAACTACAAACCTATCCTGTACAGTAAATTGTTGTAAATCCATTCTCAAATCAGTGATGTTGGACTTCATTCTCAATAACATGCCTCCATTGGTATCAATCCCTGCAGTTACTTAGGCTGAGTTTCATCTCATTTTACCTGGTTTCATTAGCACCTACAGAACTTTTTTTATGCTTACGTGCCAGCAGCACTCCTGGCCGGAGGCATTATGTTAGGGGCTGTCTATCTATATGATTCTCATGAACATAATATCTCAGTCCATGTGGACTAAAGGATGAGCTGATTAGATTTTGGTGGTCAAAGATCAAAGGTCACTGTGACCTCATGCTCGCAACGTTCTTGTGAACATAATATCTCAGGAGCACTTTTAGGGAATTTCTTCAAATTTGGCAAAACAAGGATAGATTGATTCAATTTTGGTGGTTAAAGGTCAGAGTCCAAGGTCAATGACCTCATATCTGTCCATTCCCGTGAATTTGACTGGTTGGTGGAGGCATACACGTGCGAAGTGGTAATTCTAGTTTTTCTTAAATTTATAATTCAGTGTTCCCAGCACTGCATCACAACCATCCATTGTAAACACCTTACAAACTCAGCCAAAGCCTTCAAATGATGCTAAAAATTGAATCCTAAATCTTTAAAGACTTCTACTCTAACTGAAAATAATGATACCAACCAGCCACCCAGTGACAAGTTGAACATTAGTATCAGTGAAATTCAGCTTACAAAAATATTTTGCTCACATTAGGGCTTGTTGAAAGAAAAAACATGCCGACAAAATGAAATCATTGATACTCTCAAGATGTGCGTTTGTGTGTGTACGTGTGTGTGTGGGTGTGTGTGCAGAACCACTAAAATACACAATTCATTACATGGAAACATGAAAGTGATATAACCCATATCCAACACTTGCCCATATTAAATTACCCCCCCCCCATTCTTAAATTACACATAAATAATACTGATATAAAAAAAACTGATGAGACTAAGACACACGATAAAAAGACTTTGTGCTGCTCAGATGTGCTGTTTCTGAGGAAAAATCACCAGTTTATACAAAGTGGAGATGAAAGAGGAAGGACACAGAGCCTTGTTTCACCAGTTGTTTTACACGGCCTTTTGGAAATCCCCACTGCCATATGAAGTGCTCTGACTCTGATACCAAGAGTCTGGCATTTCATATACAATACAAATAAAGCAGCAATATTATGAGAATTTGGATTTACTTATGACATAAGTCATGTGCATATTTTAGCAGGTTAGCAGTTAATATTGTTATTACATTTGCTATTAAACTCACTTAACTGTATTTCATTTTGAAAACCCAACCCCACTGTGCTGTATGTATGTGTAACAACAACGTGTGGAACAACTAATGCAACTAGGCTCAGGATGAGTGGGGGGAAGGAGGAAGGGTGGTGTCGGAGGAGAAAGGAGGGAAAAGAGAGGGGAGGGCAGGAAACGTTAGCAAAGCTTCCCATTTGTGCCTAGGAGGTACACATCTCCTCAGGGACTACACTTCTCTGCAATACCAGTCATCATAGAGTGGCGAAACGACACAACACAGCATGACACCACCATACAACACTGCCTGCACAACACTGACCATTCAGCCACATCAATGTGTGAGTGTGTGTGAGAACATGTAGGTGAATCATGTGTGCTGTGTGTGCTGCAAGTACTGAGGCTGTTGGGGTTACAGTGACAGTGTCCTGTTGAACAGCCACTGTGTTAAATGATGAGCTCATAGACACCAGACTCATCCGCGTGCCTGCTGTAGATTGCTGGTGTGAGTGGGTCATGCTAGCAGCTAACAGCAGTTCTGCCGCTTGCGGTGGTTTTGTTTTTGTTTCTTTCTTTTAGGCCATTTGCAGTTGACTGCCATGCACATTCACACATTGAGAAGTAGATTTTTTTGGGTGTTGAGGATAAAGGGGACGGCGTGCCTAGGAATGGCACAGAGCAGTCCTGGAAAATCTTATATTAAGAAGTTTTCATAAGAAAATATCATCAACTCCTTAAAGCTAATGTTCAATTATTGGAACAAATTTATTTGACTAATCACACAATTAGCTCCTCATCAGTTCATTGTAGTGGTGCACACTGTGCCATTGCCAGCACCACCTCCTGATGAGGAGGAGGAGGAAAGTATTAGTCTGGATTCAATTTTCACTTTGAAGTTAAAGCTACAGTAAATTCACATGTCAGGAACAAAAGTATCTACATTAAGGAGCAAACCAGCATAGTGGATGCTAAAGTGTTAGCATAGACCACCTGAGCCGCTGATCTGCTGCGGACATGAGGATGATGGTGTTTATGCATTCATCATTGTTAGCATCTCATTTCTGTCTACTCTTGTCTTTGTGTGTTTGAATGTATGTCTGTATTGTTTATTCGCTCATGTATATACTGCATGTGTCTCTCCTTGGGCTTGTTTCAGGCCCTGTGTGTGTGTGTGTGTGTGTGTGTGTGTGTGTGTGTGTTTGTGTGTGTGTGTGTGCATGTATCTCCTTGTGTGTGTCTGACAGGTATGTGTGTGCGTGTGTCGTTTCTTGTAAGCATGCGTTTATGTGTAGGCATTGAGGCGTTCTTTGGAGCGTGTAGAGTGGATGTCATGCAGCTCCTGCTCCTCCTTCGACTTGATGTCCTCGTACTTCTGCATCCGGCTGGCATCCTTCAGGTAGCCCCAGTTAGCAGCTAGAGCCATCAGGAAATGAACCTGAGGGGTGAGAGAAAGAGTCGAGGTTAATAAGTACACATAAAGCAAACCAAACAACAAACCACTAGTTTAATTTGAGCATTCTGACACATTTAGTCTATATGGTCCCTTAGTCAGACAGGTAGAGCTTGGACAGAGTACCAAAACTGAATAAACCTCAGTGTACCGGCTGCTGCGGAATCTCAAATACGGCTTTCATACTACATACTATTTACAGTATTCAGTATTTATTATGCACAAATGGCCATAGCACAAAGATTTTTGCTGCTAATACAGAAAGAATATCACAGTTTTGACCCAGCAGGAAATGATTCAATAAACAACCCAATTAACACCCGAGACCATGAAGTGACTGCTAAACTTCATAAAGAGAAAGCTAAATGTTTTGTCCCAAGATAAAGTACTTGGGTACTTCAGTACCCATCTCACCACCACCTACATTTCCTGTGTGCAGTGCACTGTGCGACAATACTTTGCATCAACAGCACACTCAAAAATAATTCAGGCATATATCCTTCCATCATCCCTTGTTCACTTCCAGCTGAAGGCCTTTGCTGCTACTGTTTTGGTTCATGCTCAGTGCTCTGGTGGAGTTGATTTTGACAACAGCAGGGAGCTGTTTGGCACGAAAGAGCTCCAGAAATCCATTGCACACTACCTGCTCAACATTAAACAGAGATTTCCTTCAGGAACAGCCAAAATGGTTGTGTTATTGTATGTTATAAAATAAATTGAAATAAAATAAATCAACTTTGTCTCTTTTATCAGAACCAACAAATAATTACTGTGATATATGTAATTTGAACAAGGCTTAAGAAAACAAGGAGCTTTGATCTTGATGGAGAAGATGCTGGTAAATGTGCAGTAGGTCTGAGACAACTGCAGCTGTCTGTGTAGACGCTGGACCTGTTAGCTTGTTGAACTCTGGTGCCCCCTAGTGGCCAAATAACTCATTTTGTTTTTCCTTTTGAGTGTTTGAGATATTCACTACTGCTTCTCATTGTAGAGGCTTAATCAACTCACAGAAATGGAGTTGCAACCTAAAACCATACATGGTGACAGGGATTCTTCATATTTCTCCATTTAAGGTACTGTATATTTTAAGGCTTGACTAGCAGGAGAAACGCCTTCCATACCAGCTGCTATAAAGCAGAAATACATCAGACTTGTCACTTTTAGTGTATGTTTTAAAATTAGGCATCTCTCATAGTGCTGAGATTGTTGTGTGTTTAAAGGTTTCGGATTTTTTGTTTCTGTGAAAGAGAACTGTGGGGGAGGTGGAGAGTGTTTCTGGGATAGACTCCAACTCCCTGTGACTCTGAGCAGAAGTGAGCAGAACAGAAAATGGACGGATGTGTGTTAATGTTTTGCTTTTCACACTGGTGGTGGACAGGAGAGAGCGATAACATGTAACAGCATGGGCCCAGGTTAGCAAATACCTGCTGAAAGCATTCAGAGTTTACAGGGACAGCTGCCAGAACCGATCCTCTCCACACCTCAGATATTTGAACGGCTTGGTGACTCACTGTCTGTATTACTGCAGACTCAAGAGTGGATTTACTGTACTCCTTGCCCTCTCGCTCTCTCTCTCTGCTTCTCTTTCTCTGTCTCCCTCTAGGTAGGTTTGAAAATGCACTTCTATTATTTGCACTTATAACAACAAAACATGCACAAACCCCTCAAAGCCAGAAGATTCTGGTTAAAAAAACATATGCAGTAAAATACTAATCACTTTTGCCCATGTGTCTATTTCATTCGTGCTGGAAAGTTAATCCCAAACAGTACCATTTACTGTACTCGAGCCCTAAGGTCAGTCAGACATGAAAACATTGGTTCTCACCATGGCGATGACAGCAGCGCCTGCTCCTGCCAATGCGCACACAAACAGATGGAAGGTCAAGTCCAGCTGCAACACAAATCATTCAACTGTCATTTGTGACTAAAATTAAATTTTAATTTTGCCACTTTTTATATATATATCACTTCAAGTTTACTACAAAAAGCACCAGTCATGTTGCTCCTTCCATCTTTCTGTGTTTTCTCTTACCTCATTAGATTCACACATCTTGAAGAACTTCTCAGTTCCTGTACACACCTTCTTCTCCTCAGAGATGGTCACCGCTCCTTAAAAAAAAACAAATAAACAAAAATACATCATCAACACAGACTGTTCCCCTGTCACATCCATCGGTGGCAAGAAGGCTGATGACTGAACAGAAGAAGCTCTGGTCATCACTTACCCTCAGCCTTGAACCATTATTGATCAGATTTAATTTGACTGATATTAACTCTTCACTGGTCTGTTCTGTTGACCACTGGGAACTGACCAGTATGCTGCTGGTGGGAATACAAAAACACAACTCAAACTGACCTCAAAATGATCACAAACTTGAATCCAAAGCCTTATGTGCCAGGGATTTTCTTTTTATGAAATTTCCTATGTGTCCCCATAAGAAATGTTCATAAGGACGTTGGCTGGTAGGTGGCAGTGCTGCCAGGGATGCTACAAAATACATCTTGATTTGTCTTTAGCTTTTATGTGGGCATCCTGGAGAACAACATGGTGGACACAGCTGAGACTGCATTATGTAAAATAATACATAATCATAACAATATGTGATTGAAATACACTGTGTAACTAGAATCAATGTGTCTTTAAGAAATGGCTTAATATGGTGTTAGAAGTAGGTAAAGAATTTAACCATGTCTTCTCATTTGCAAAAGAATTCTGGGACACTGAGCAGCCTGATGTCTCTACTGTGCAAGTGCTAAATGTGCAATGGACCCAGTGCTTATTTAATTAAAATTCTATTAAATGTAGATGTGAGGCATCAATAAAATCTCTAATAAGAAGAATTATTTTGAAATGTAGGTACTGTGAAAATCTCTTCTGTAAATTCTACACTGAGAATTATTGTGGGCTTATGATGGATGCTTATTTATTTGGTTTTATTTTTATCTTGTCCGAATAGGCTGCTATTGTTCATTTTCAGAGTTTTTAAAAATTCTTTTAAGTTCTCTTTTGGACATGGTTCTCATAACCTGCACACTGCTGTTAGCAGGTTTCACTGTTGAAAATGTTGGTCCAGAGTCCTGCAGAAATCCTTGCTAAACACCAAATTCTAAGCTGTGGAAAACGTGTTGCTGAAGTTTGAACCTGTCCTGTCAAAAACCACTAAGACATTTTTCATGATACTGGACTGAAACATTTTTTATTTGACTCTGTTTTGTGGTTTTTATAGTGGTTTGACCACAACCTGAACATATTTGCACACAACATAGTTCCTGGTATTGAGGTTATGCAGATGCACATGCTAAACAACACATCATTGCCAAGGACACCTCAGCAGTAACTGCAGAGTAACTGAAACTGTTGTTCAATCACTTTCATACTGACATTTTCCTAGTGCTCATGTCTAACTTTTAGCTCACATGTGTGGATTAACACAACTGAGACAAACACATGTTCAGTCCACAGATCTTCTGTCTACTGTGCACCTACTAATATGTAGAGTTACAGGCTGGGGTCAGTCATTAAACCACTAATAAATTGCCATACAGAAAAGTAAATGACAAATTCATGAAGATAATTGGATATAGCTCAGTGATATCTCCCACTCACCGTATACTGGCTTCTGATGTGGACAATATGGCAAATACACACAGTGTTAAACAGGTTAGAATATTGTTGTATATAGCAAGGAAAGTGATTCCTAAACACTGGATCTCCAAGGACATACCCACAGTGGAGGATGCGTATGGAGAAATACAGAGGACACACTGCCTCTTGAAAGGCCAACACTCACCATACATAACAACAATCACAAATTCATTAAGATTTCGTAGCCTCCAGTATGATAAACATAATGCACCAAAATGGACTGGACATCATCTTAACCACTTGAATGGACAGTGACTGACTGTGACCAGTTACAGAATTAGCTAGTGGAAGGCTAGGATGCCATATGTGTGTGTGTGTGTGTGTGTTTGCTAGGTTATTGTTGATACTCCTGTTCCTGCTTTATGTGTGCATGGTGTTTCTCCTTTCTTTTTGTGTTGTTGCTTTCATGTGTGTTTAACTGCTGGAGAGGGAAAGTTTGGTTCTGCCCAGTATACATTTTAAGGCAATGATGGGACACAGAAGTTGTAATGGAACTGAACTACTAATACAAAAATATATTTACCTACTAATAAAAATCTATTTTTAAAGCATTCTGAGGTCGCTCACACAGACTATCTGATTCTGGGCTGCACACTGTATATTGTCCTTACACCACATGGTACACTGTGGGCTTTCTACTGGCAATGTGGCAGTCCTGTTGCACACACAGGTTCTTCCATTGTGTTTGCCAGTTTGGTCTTTTGGTGAGTCCCCTGCACTAAGTGGGAGGATGCACACAGCATGAGAATGCTGGGTGTGTGGGATTATGAGGTCCTGTATTTCAGTTCACTTCACTGGCCCACTGACACAATTTCAACATCAAAAGATACAAGGATAGAGTGTGTGCAGAAGCTGTTTGACAGTTTCTGTGGATGATGATGATCAGTTCCAAAGGGAGATGTTTTTTAAAAAAATGCATGACTTCTAGCTGTGGTCTGAAAGAAATCCGGTACAGGATCAATATGGGAAGCAGTTCTTCTAAGGCCAGAGCAGCACAGTGGCCAAATTAACTTTGTAAAAAGCAGGCCAAAGGTCACCAAACTTGAACTCAGGAAATAAAAAATGAAGACCCTTTTCTCTGTCCTGTCAGTTTTGAACTGAAGTGAGAGGACTATGAAGGTATAACCTGACTACACCTTAAAAGCTGGAGCTCATATAAGACTGTGCTTCTCTTTTATCTGACTTTTACCTACTACTGGATTTGTAGACTTGGGCAACATAGTGTAGGTATATTGCACAAGACAATGCAGAGATGGTTGACTTACTATTTTAATGAGAACAGTAATATGATAACGGGTTGATATGCCACATCCATGCATATATCCACCAGTAATATTTGATGCTGCCATGGCACGTACCAAACTGACGCAGGTCCAGGCAAAGGTTGGTTCCCACCACCAAACTGCTGTTCTGACACATGGACCAAATGTTGAAGAACATGAAGACTGGCAGGCTGGTGAATGCTGTCACACCAAGCCACACCAGAAAGAATAGGTAGGCCAGGAACATCAGCTGCAAGCACACAGACAAGAGATGAGAAGTGACACAGGCAGTATATTCTGCATTGACAAGCCTTCCTTCTCCACTGCTCAAAGAACTACAAATGTGCAGTAAAATTTGCCTGAGCAGAGGTGGACAATGCCTCATCTCTTTCTCTGCCTCCCTCCTCCACATGAATCTGAAGTGACTAACAGACAAGACGTCACAGTCAGATGGAATTTGCAATGAGAAATACACAGTATATCACATCAGGGAATAAGTGCACAAAGATCTCTTAGCCTCATATAATGAGATAGACCAGTCTCTGTTTTGTTGCAAAACAGTATCTATTACTCATAAACACTCTCATCCATGTTTGTTCTGCTTCAGCTGGCAGTGCCAAACCGGTTTAGCATCATTACTTTGTGATATATTACACAGTAGAGTAGAGTAGAAAGACTTTAAAATGTAAACTAACTGACTGAACCATGACTGAGTTTAACCTTGTGTGGATTCTTTTACATAACAATAAAATATAATCATTATTTAGATTCAGCTTTTAAATAAGTAATATATATTATTAATATCAATAACGTACAGTGGCAAGAAAATGTAAGTGCACCATTGAATTGTTTGAATTCTTTATTTTACTTGTATTTATCTATAAATTTGCCTTAAAATATGATCAGATCTCTAGCTAAGTTACATTTACATCCAACACAGTCAGAGAAATGATTGTTATACTTGTCCATAGTGACTACATCACCCAAACATTAAATGTAGGTCAGGATGAGTAGCTGAGGACATCAGCTGGAGCAAACCTGGAGTCCAGTCACTGAAACCAGACTGGAGGTGTGTGCTTGACCTACTCTGACTTAAAAAAAACTCTCAAACATTTTGAGTTTGCTGTTCACAAGAAGCACCTGCTGGTGTGAACACAGATCTCAGAAAACCCAGGATCAATGTTGATTTGCATAAAGCTGGAAAGGGTGACAAAGTCCTCTCATCGGGGCACAGCTGGACAAGCTGTCTATAAGTGGAGAAGACTTAATGTTGTTAGTGGACGCCCAGCTAAAGGTTTAAAGGAATCACTGGAGCCGCTTCATCTCTATTTGAGTTGGCCACACACACATCACGGTGCACAGTCCATGGCAGGACACCGCAGAGGAAGCTGCAGCTTTCCCAAACACCGCAGACCTGACCTGTGCCAAAGAGCTGCTTAACACTGCACAGCACTACTGGCAAAATGTTTTGTGGACTGATGAAACTAAGGTGGAATTGTTTGTGGAGAACAAGCAGCACTATGGCATAAAAAAGGTCACTTCATACCATTGTGAAAGCATCAGGGAGCATCATGACGTGGGGCTGCTTTGCAGAAATACCAGGTTTATCAAGGACTCTTTCAGGATAATGTGAGGTTGGTTGTCCACCAACTGAAGTTGAAGCTGAGTGATGCAGCAGGACAATGACCCTAAACATCAAAGTAAATCTAATACCAAATGGCTTCACTGGAGTGACCCATTTAGAGCCTGGGCCTTAATCAAACAGAGAGACTGTGGAATGAGTACGGGAGAGCAATTCATACCAGACACGTTAAGAATTCCTCCTGAGCACTGTGCAGGTTTGATCCACAGCTGCTGCTAAAACAACTGGGCAATGTGGTTTTTAGCAAACGTGACATTTGTACAAGCAGTACATTTGTTGAGGACTGATTTTAGTGGTGGATGAAGATATATATGGTGCTCTAGTGAAGTGCTCACAGCAGAAGGACAGTATATGCAGATACAGTGTTCAGGTTGATGATTATGAAGAAACATGCCCACAGTTCAACAGTGAAGTTTGCTTACGAATGCAGTCAGGCAGCGTCCACATGCGGTGATCTTGAACTCTCCATAGAGATCTCTAATAGCTCCAGTGGTGAAAAAGCCCTCCACCAGCAACAGCACTCCAAACACAAAGAATCCAGCTGCAAGGCCATAGATGATGTACTTCAGTATGTCAATACTGTGGAGAGAACACACCCACGCCCACAGTGTCAGTGATTAATGAGCATTTATTTCCATGCTCGACTGCATCTTGAAGTGTTATTTGTAGATCTAATACGCATCTTCAGCTAAATGACTATGTAGGAATGCCAAAAACAAGTCAGTTGGAGGATGAGCTGGGGTCTGGGATGGGGGGGGATTTTCAGTTCATGATAAGTGTAAAATGTATACAGTGAGACACTCACTTTTGCATTTGTCAGATTTATTTCCTCTTATCCCAGAACAAACAACTCATTGTGCTTTGTGTTTGTAATGCCTGTTTCCATTACTTACAAACAAACAAAGAAATAAGAACAGCTTCTCAGTATGGTGGAGTTTTTCCTAATTATGATATTTGTCTCAATTATGTGGAAAAAACTTATTGTGACAGAGAAGTGGACTTCCACATGTACCTGGTATTATGAACTGGGTCAGGAGATGTGAATTAATCTATAGAGTCATGATCTCAGTTTTAGTCTTATTTTGGTGTTGTAGGCGGGCTTTGTTTATGTTAAATTCTGAAATAAGCATCCACAATAAGACTTGCTAAATGATGATTCAAGATGTATTTTTTGCAGTGTACAGTGTCTTTTGAACATTGACCCCTTCACTTTTTGCACATTTTGAATAGTTTTAAATGGATAAAACTGCCACTGTTGCCTATCAATCTACATTCAGCAACCCATAATTATAAAGTAAGAACATATTTTTTAAAGAGCTTGCAAATTTAACAAAAAATCAAAACCCGAATTCTTTCATTTACAAAAGCATTCAGACCTTTAATTCAGTACTTTGTAGAAGCCTCAAGCTCATCAAATTGGGGACAAGTGACTCTGAACTAGCAACTTCAGATTTGTCCACAGATGTGTGTTGGGGCTTTAGTCTTGGCCCCTCAGTGATGGTCAGCGACTGGTCCAGAAGCCACTCCAGTGTTGTCTTGGATTTATGCCACTGGTCATTGACAGGCTGAACCGTCACCCCTGTTTCAGGTCTCTGCACTCACAGAGGTTCACAATGATTTCCTTGGACTTTATAACCTGGTTCTTGTCATGACATGCCATGTGAATTGTGGAACCTCATATATGAAGGTGTGTGTCTTTTTAAACTATGCACAATCAATTCAGTTTGTAGAATTTCCACAGGTGGACTCCAATAATGTTATAGACACATTTCAAGCACAAACAAACTTCAAAGACATGTTTTCACTTTATCATGATGGAGTGAATGTGGATTGTTGGGAATAATGTCAATTTTGTCCTTTTAAAATCAAATCTCCAACACAATAAAGTGTGCAAAATGTGAAAAGGTCTTAATATTTCCTGAAACCACTGGACATACAGTACACACATGACATATGCTTTCTGACAAAATATGCTAAATCAGCTTGTGAACTGTTGTTTTTGCTTCACTATTGACAAAACGGAGGCATCGAAGGAGAGGTTCACATTTTTTCTGTACAATCTCATATGACCATATGTACAGTGATCGAGTTACTGTGGACTATGCTGAATAGATGTGATGTCAGTTTTGGGAGAACCTGATCAGTCTTTTTATTCAGTGCATCAACGGTGAAAAGAACCTGTCATTAGGCTGGTCACAACAGGGGACACCAGTGACCCCATGGCACAGCCATACTTCTGTCTGTAAAAGCCCTGACTGTAGAAGGCAGAGGTCAAGCACAACATATACAGTGGATTCTGAAGGTTTTCACACCATTTCAAGTTTTTCACATTTTGTTATAAAGCAAAATAGGTGTTGTTTGTATTTTAGCAACATTTTGCTTATGACTTATTGATATATAAACTTCAAATCTGTGAATATCTTTCCAACTTTACCAAAGTCAGCCACTATGACAGCCCATTGTCAGCGCACTGACTGACAGCGAGCTCATCCTCTGTGTCTGGGAGCAAATATGACATTTGCACATAACATGTGATTTAGATCACCCCCTCCCTTTCACTCAGTCAAGCACATCGGAATGATCTAATATGACTTCACTCTGATGGTAATGTGCACAGGTTTGCTCTAATATTGGACATTTCTGCCCTAAAACTACACCTTTGCTTTGGTGGACAGCTTCTTTTAGCAGAAGCTACATCACTACTTAGATTCACTGAAAACCCCTCTTACAGCAGCAGTCTGCCAAATTTAACTAAGTATTTGCTATATATGGTCTAGTCCTTGATGTACACTAAGTGTCTCTGAAAGAAATACTGAAACTGGCATCTTTCCAGCCAATGTGGAAGAGAAGAGGAATAATTGCAGTGACCAATAACAATTCTGTCAGTGCAATAATGGGGATGTCAGTGTTGTTTTAAGATAAAATTTAGCCTAATATACATTTATAAACTTAGTGACCAGAAAAGATTAACCTTCATTAGTAGACTACTGTGTTGGCCATGACACTAGCTGCCAAATAGACACTAGTTGTGTATTTATTAGAAAGACCGAAACTCCACTTATACCCTGAAAGGCTGCAACAGTAATTACTAAAGTGTTGAATAATGCTGGAAACTTAGAGGTAATGCAGCTCAAAATGTACAGTCTGTCCTGTGATTCTAAATGTGATGACTTCTCCACTGTGATGGATTATCTTGAACAAACTTCAAGTGTCTGAACGTTGCAGTGCAGCACATTGAACTACAGAGACTTTGCTGCTTGGGGAAAAAAAACCTTTTTGGTAATTTCTTGCAATTTATGGTTATCATGCTAAAACAAGGTTCCTTTCATTTTTGTGAGAAATGAAGGTAAAAACAAGTCACTCACATGGTAAACACATCCAGTGTTTGTCCAGGGGCTCTGATGACTTCAAAGTAGTTCTGGAGGATGGCGACGGTGCCACTTAAAGCCTCATGGCCACACCCACAGAATAAGGCCACGCCCATATAGAGGAGAACTGTAGCGATGAGCGAGGCCCAGGGCAGACTGCCCACACATCGCTCACAGCACTCCTTACAGCCTAAACAAACACAGAGAGAAGTGTAATGCTGACAATATCCTTAACATAGACAACATGATGATTACAACAGCTGACAGAATGTTCATATGGACAATTCATATTATTCAGAAATGTGAAGGGGGCCTTCTATAAAATAAGTGAAACAACCAAGAGCAGTCATGGTTATATCTAAAAGCATCAATGAAAACAAGTTTCTAGTAATGTATGAACACCCCAGAGGATGATGTAAAGCACTGACACAAGCACCAGGGTTTTTGCCTTTTCCTATGAAACATAACTCTGCTGAGAGTGGTGAGATTAAAAGTGTTGCTCAAAGTGTCTTCATTAATTGTGAGCTTATTAATTCATCCATCTATTTTCTGCCTCTGATCCAAGATGAGGTTTAAGAGAAAGCAGGGTCATAGACGTAGTCAACACATCCCTCTGCTTATGAGGAGCTTACTTTCACACCATGCACGTACAAAGGAGACAGGTGAGAAAATCAATACACTGGTCTCAGTGACCAGTACATCCAGGATGAATGTAGATTAGCTTAAAGTGTAGAATTAGAAAAAGAAACTTTCCTACAACTCTCTAGGCTGTTTAATTCACACCGGTTGGGCACTTATCAGAGGAATGAGGCAATAAAGCCAATGAAAATAACAGTATAAGTATTCAAACCATGTCCTGTGCATCTAATCTAGAGCAACCAGTTATACTATACCTCGCTACTGGCTATACAATAATATTATACACGAATATTATAAAAATATTGGCAGAATTCAATTCAGAACTCTCCTTTTTTCCCCTCCATATTAGCCACACACACACAGAGTATGCACACACTGACTCCTACAGACAGACATAGGCAAATAGCGTGTCAAAGATAAAGAGAAACACACCCACATTCCTTCTCTCCTCACCTCCCTCTTCTCAGAAAGGGGTTTATTTGTCTGTGTGTGCATGTGTGAGTCATTGTGCTACTGAGGTTTAATTGACCAGCCTTGTTGCTATGCCAACAGGGGTGTGGCAAGAGCCTGCTGACCCACTTTGCCTGTAGCGTTGTCATGGAAACAGCGCAGCTCTGCCAGTGTTACAATCACACTAATGCACATTTTCACACACGCAGCAACAAATGCACCCACTCAAAAGAACACTCACACACATCATCGATCTGCATAAACACAAAGTCTGTTCTTATTTTCATTATTCTTAGTTTGTGGAAACGATCAATGTGCAGTTTCAATGCTTCTCGACAATATACAATCCAGGAACGGAGGAACAAAAATGGCTGCTATACCCAGTAGGGAGGTACCATTTTGCAATGACTGACTCCATTTAATAAAAGATTCATTGCTCATGAGCTTCACGCTCACTGTTGTTCTTTGTACATACCTGAGTTCAGTCATGTTCGTTTGGCCCCCATTTCTCCACATATAGAAAAAAAAAACCTTCAGGCCGTATTAGTGCATCAGTTCTGAGGCAGATGGACAGGCGCATGGAGGAGGAGTGTGATATTGTGATATGATTTAAATGTGTTAGGAGTATGTGTGAAAGTGTTTCTGTGTGGGGGTTTATACTGTGTCTTACGTCTAAATATTTTCATACATCTGCAAATATCTGCATGTGTATGACTGCACAGTTGTGTTTCTGATGCTGTGTGTGTGTGTGTGTGTGTGTGTGTGTGTGTGTGTGTTTGTGAGTATGCGTCCTGAATTTCAGCCATGTTCTAATCCTTGCCATATTTCCATATTTGGGCTTTAAATGCAGGAAAGACCCAGTGACCTGGTAAAAACCGGGACATGCAAAATGCAGACAGAATCGCCTCTGTGTATCCTGTGAGTGGCTGTTTCTGTGTTTCTGATATGATATAACACTAATCATCAATTTTCTGTCCAATTTCAAAAAAGTACTGTAATATATATAATATGTAGGATTTGTAAGGCTGCTGATCACCATCACTGTAGTGCTTGTTTAGAGATGTACACAGTAATTTTAATGAGTATGGTACTGTTTAAAACAGTGGTTATATGTAGAGTGACAGACAGAATTCCCTAACTGAATCTGGATATCAATATGTTGTTTATGTTTTACTGTTTAATTCACACATATTTGCTTATTGAAAGGCATTTTATTATGTGATTTCTTGTTTGGGTTTCTATGATACATAATGTTTAAATTAACAGTCATATTTTTAAAAGTATTTGTACAATAAATAAATGAATGCATATTTTGATACAAAGTTCAGTTCTTCATAATTTATGACAAACATATATTGTAAGCTTGTACTGTATGTTGTAAACATATGCAAGAAAATATTTAATAAACATAAAATAAACAAATGTATATTTATTAAAATATTGTTAACAATAAATGACAACATTTATTTATTTTCATTTCTTTTCTTATGTAGACTAACCAATATGTTTGTTGTATTTGTCCATTCATTTCAGACTTATATCTTTTAAGATAAAATGTCTGTTTGACACTAAGTCAAACTGTTACAGTTAAACATAGTGTGTTACAGTGAAATGAACATAAAATGGACACCTGTATTTGAAATTACTGAGATCTGTTATATATTGTACATTTATTTATTAAGTTTGGTTTTGTTATGTATTAATGTGAGAATGTCCTATTTCCAAAATTTTGCTGTGTACATTCCTTTCTTCGATTTCATTGCAGATGCCATTCAACTTAAAGTGAGATTGTTATTCAACCGGCATCTTGAAAGTTCAGTATCATAACTGTCCAAATTAACTTTAGATTTTGTCAGGGGTTTCATGGTTCATGCTGATTTCTAACCTAACCTTTAATCTAATACTGCTACCACCAGGACAGCATCACTGCATCACTCACAGTCCCATCCAGATCTAAAAGGCAAGTATGTGATGATTTACACGGTACATTCAAGTCAATGATTCTATTGGATGCTCATTTCCTTGAGACATTCATAGCACAAACTTTTACAAAATAAGAAGACTAAACATTTTGCTTGAGGAACTGCAATGATTAGCCCATTAATCAATTAGTCAATCAACAGAAAAATAAATTCTAAGGATTTTGATAATTTAATTGTTGTTGTAGTCTTTTTCGATCACAGTAAACATGCCAAACCTTTTGTTGTTGTACATGGCATTATAATGATTATTTTTGGGTTTTGAGCTGTGAGTCTGACAAAAAAAAAATCTTCTGACAAATCAATTAGTCTGGAAAAAAATGATGAGCAGATTAATGAACGAAGAAAATAACCATTAGTTCCAGACTTTAGTTGTTTGTGATCATTGTGTGTTTCCTGTTTAGAGTTCACACAAAGACACACACAGTGTTCTTTTCTAGCTTTTCAGTTGTAAAATGCATTCATACTTGCACAGTGAGATTTGTTGCTCATTAGGCAGCAATTTGGACAGTGCTGTCTGACCTGATTGTCTATCAAACAGCGGTATGTGTGTGTGTGTGTGTGTGAATCTCTAAGAAAGGATTGCATTGTTTATCTAGCTATAGTTTGCTGTTCTGGATACTCTTCACCTGCGTTTACCTGCAGTAGGTGCAGATCAGCACAGACGTGCTGACTGAATGAATAAGTTGATGATCACCAACAAACAAAACCACAGTTAGGGACAAGCACGCCGGTAACTCAGCAATCGATCCTTCAGTGCAGTATACAAACACTACTCATTCTGTGCTAATAACAGTGAAAAAGTATTGATTAGAAAAGGCCTTTGATTTATAAACTATGTACAGATGTGCCATCTGCAAGGCTTTCTGCACTTTTATAGTACAACTTTATGTCCATGAACAAACCATTGTGATGTAAGAATCCTGGAAGCATCCTGAGTATTCGCCAGCCTGTCAAAGAGGAGATAAACCATCCTCTACTCACAATCCCCAGCTCACACCCCTCACCATGGCAGAGCAAAGATACAGGACAATGTGGTCATTTTTCACTTGTCAATGTACAGTAAACATCAGAAACTGTGATATATACATGAACAAATCTGTGTAAACATATCAAAAGTTATGGTACCCCGTAACCATCTTTCATGAAAGAGGATACTGAACAAACAGCAATAAATAAATAAATAAATAAGAAGAAAGAAAGAAATGGGGAGGAGGAAGCCCCAGCAAGACCAATCCTATTCCAATGATGGATGTCTTTCAGACAGATGGTGACCAGGCAGGCCATAAACTGGAGAAATCATTATAATAATTGATCAGCTGATAGTGTGAGAGGATGTACTGTGGGAGAAGTAATCTACTGCTCAAATTTACCTTCCACAATAAAATACTCTGAACTGAGGTTAAATTTAGAGTCGTTAAAACATTCTATTTATTTACCCTGCTGATTTATAAATGTAAGAATTATAGCTGTTAATTTCAATGTAATGTGAAAAGGTCCATATTGTAATTATATTGCACTTTTTGTTTTGTGACTGATCACAATTAGTTGGTTCATTCTTGTATTAAACAGTGCCAATTCTTAAAACTCTGATTTATGTATGTGTCCATTAATGCATCACAAAGAGGATTTTAAGTGTCTCTCAAAAGAAAAATTGAATTCTGTACTGAAATAAGTAGAAAAGGAGAAGAAAGCCTGCTAAATGTAAATTGTACAATACTTGTCATTAACAGAAAAAACTACGTCACTAAAATCTCTTGGCAGTGTACCAGCTGCGACTATGGCAGACTGAGCCCCTATAAATACAAACACAAATGGACCAAAAATACACACTCTAGCTTAATATTTTGCCCTAAAGCTGCTATTTTGTAATGACTTTTTTCCAGCATGCTCACAAAAGACAACTATTCAGAGCAGCACTCAAGCTGAGAGAAAAACACTTTTTAGCGCATCACAGGACCCTGAAATGACTCTTTATAAGCCCTTCAACCCAACCAATCCAACACTACACCAGTAAAATATATTAGCCCATTAACTAGCAATTACTTTACAAAATATTCCATTAAAATTATCCACCCTCAAAATAGAAATCATAAACAAAGCACTATTCCTGTGTCTTGTGAAGGTGTAAATGGAGCGTTTGAGCCACTCCCTCTGTAGGATGATCAGCAGAGAGACAGCCTGTAGTGGTGATGTCATCTGCAGGCTAATGCTGGAGCAGCTCCACATAACGGTGAGAACTGAAAACACTGCCAGGCCTCTGTGATCACAGGCTCTGTCACTTTACATTGATATGGGAGGATTGTATGATTCACACCTGGAAACCACACATTCAAATACTAGTCATGATATAGTATCCTGTAGATATATTTAGATATAGAGATCTAACACAACTACTTATTTCTGAACTACAGAGAATGTAACTAAACCACAATGATGTCATTATGTAGTGTAGGTTCCTCTGTGCACCAATGAATAATTAAAAGAAGAGTTAGCACCTAATAAAGACAATATCTAAAAAACCCAGCACCCGAGAAGTCCAGCTCCACACTGACATCATGTCGTTGTCCGTGTCCTACTCACATAAAACAGTCCCTCACAATCTGAGGGTACTTGGACTTTGAGCATTATGAGTGACAAGGTTCATCATGAAGACAAACATGTTCAGGAACTTTCATGGCCATCTTCTTATTAGAGTCTTAGGAATTTAACGTAGAAAGGTAACAATTTGTCTCAAAGGTCATAAACCAAAAGGGCTTTTTGGCTTATGAATTACAGTAAAATGAAGAGACTGTGGGAACCTTTGGGGGAATGAAATGCAAAAAGGGCCCACAGATGGAATGAAACCATGCATGTTGTGGTTACATACTGTAACCATTCACCTGCCAGGTGCTACTGTCAGATATGTTGTGATATTTCTTATGTACAAGTGAAATATCTGGGTTGATATTTCATGGCAGTCTGCCCAGAAACTGTCAATGTCTGGACCAAAGACTTGGTCCATCAAACCAAACACAAGCAGAGTAATAATACATTGCACTCAGGGGAAGGGTTAATCTCTTCCAATCACCACTGAAGACAGTCCAATGTGTAAATGCAGCTCATGTGACAGCAGAATGACCCTTGTGTTAATCTAGTCTTCATTTCCTGTGTGAATGGGAGGTAATAAGATTAGGAAATTCTCCGATTTCATTTTCAGCTTCTTTCCCTCTCCTGTACCCCCCCTGGCTTCTCCTCTCTCACCCCCTGAGGGCCTGCCGCTCTAAGTCAGTTTGTATTGACTTACTCCTCTCTCCATTAAGTTGCTTTCCGTTAGTGGTCATAATAATGAAATGGACATGAGGCACATACACAAGGTCCACTCTTAGTTGTATGGTTGCTGTCAACTGTATAATACATTACAAATTAATTTCACACAGTAATTATTGCCTTTTCTGCAGGAAGTGGCCACATAGGACTTCCTTTGGTATACCACCAGTTCCATGCTAAGAACATATTTTTGAGTCAATATTACACCATAAAACCCTTCTTATTTCCTTAATATTTCCACTCTAATAACATTTTTCACTGCTAACACATATTATATATGATTATTTATACTAAATCAGTGCCTCATTGGTTCATTAAAGCTTTTCTCAAAACATTTTCTCTGTGAAACACTCAGCATCAAGTGGGTCTTTCCCAGCAAAGCTTGCTTCAGGACTTGAATTCAGGATGTGTTTCATGATTCCTGTCTGACTAATTTAAAGTTAACAACTGGATCATTAGGATGAGTTGTGATGTGCAAAGACTGTTTCCAAAGAACCGAGTGCCACAAACTCAAACCTGACAAACACAGAACTCAAGGAGAGACTGATCAAACAGGAACAGATCAAACAAATGCAAGAAAACACAGACCACGTCTCTTAGGCTGGTATTTGTTAATATAGCTCTGTTTAGGTACTTTTGTCATGGGAAATGATGAACTGTGCCCCAGAATTCTTCCCCCCCCACACACAGTTTTTGGCACTGTAGTCACATAAAAAGCTAACAAACTTTACTGAACCTAAAATACAGATTATCACTTACAGTGTTATTTCATAAGGGTGTGAGACCAAATAAAGGACTAGAGATGTGTAGATAAACAACATTCCAATATTTCCTGTTGGACCCAAAGTTACACACAAACAAACAACCAGTCTGAGAACTCCAATTAAACCCCACAAATCCCTGAAAACAGAGCTACAGTAAATCCTTGGAAGGTTGACCTGCTACAGGAAAATCAGATCAAACCCTTCAGCGTTTCACATGTTCCCTGTCAAATCTTTCACACTTTCAGTTTGTATTAGAAAACATGAAACTTTAATGATGCCTCTTGATTGCTTGGGGGATTGTGACAGGAAGTAACATTAGAACTGATTATATAAGATGCTGCAACTGATAACGAGTTTTAGTGACCATGTTTCCATTAATTGTGGATTTCCATTATTAGAACCCAGATTAAAACAAAGATAGCCTGGCTGTCACACATCCTACCATCAGAAAGCTGCATGACATTGGCTGCACAAATAAGTAGTAAATATGAAGGTTCAATGACAGCGTTAGAACACATTCTGAGCCAATCAGTAGGTGGGTTTCACTTCACCACTTTGTATCTATGCAAATTTGTACCTTCAACTGCCTGATATTTTAACACAGTTTTTAATCTTTTCATTTGATGAGTTATTGGAGTCATGGGTCACTGTCTATGGGAGAAATGAATGAGACTTCTAATTCAGGGTCAGAGATGGCCAGACACACTCCTCCTACTGTGCAGCAAAAGATTTGTTTTTAGTAATTACATTTTTGTTTAATTATGTTTGATGAAAGAACATTTAATACATTTTAATTCATATTTATTATAAATTTTAAATTAGGTTATACTGCTAGACTTAACAAGTATGCTGTATAGTCATCAGCAGACAATATTACCACACTTTAGAAATCCAGTGTTGCATTTTGCACCACTGAATTGTATCTTATTAATAATATTAGTCAGCAACACACCATCAGTCATCTGTGATAGTCATGTGCACAGCCAAGTTCAGTAACAGGCAGTTCTTATACAATGTCAGGTAACAAAAGTGCAAAGAATTTGTGTAATAAGCTTTACATTATAAAGACCTAATCCAGAACGGAAAGATTCAGTAAATAGGAAAGCATGCATTCTGGCAGTAATGATCATGTCATATTATTATAACAAATATTTTGGTAATTAATTGATCAGCTACAAATTACACTGTAAGTCCACGTACTTCATATGGAACTGTCTTTACCAACAACCCTGCATTACTTGATTTCTCTGCCATCTTTAAACATTCACACTCTATACCACCTTTCCTCCTCACCTGTCCTGCACAAACACCTGTATTTTGTCAACTGTGTGCATCCCATTTATTAAAACAAGAAGAGAAGGGAATGAGAGAGTGGGAGGCCTGTGACCATTAAACTAAACGAGAACGTAAAAAGACATGGACTGAGACCGGTGTGGGATGGGAAACAGTTTAATGGATTAAAAGAAGAAGTGAGAAGATAGGAAGAAAATTAAAGAAAGAAAGAAAGTGTCAGAAATGAACAATAATGTTTGCATGAAACATCATATCTCCTCATTCCACTTTCTGATTGGCTAAAACAGGTTCCTTCCAGAAAAAGCACATGAATCTGCCTATCAGACAACAGAAGACATGTCCATAACGGTGTTACCATAGATACAGTGTTAATACATGTTAATACAGTGATACATGCAAATAATGGTTAATTTTTCATTAAAAAATAAAACCACCATGATTTATGTTTGTGAATCTCTATATGCAGCATTGGTTATGTCATATTTCAGGCTGAAGTTGTGATGAACAACATGGACACGCCCATTTTTAACCACCGACAGCAACAACAAAAATATGGGAAGGCGCAATAAAAACCATGAATATGCTAAAGCATAAACACACAGAGGAAGATTTATTGTAATTTAATGGAATGTGTAAGATTTAAAATGTTTTTAAAAGGCTGCGAATGAACGAGGGGGTGGGCGGGTGGTGGTTGTCGATGGTGAGATGGAGGTGAGCAAGAGATGAGTCAAAAAAGAGGTTTTGGGAGAGACAGACAGAAAAAGACAGACAGGTAAAACAAGAGAGAGAAACCCACAGAGGCAGAGAGACAGACTGACAGAGCCGAAAATCCAGATTGAAACATACTGAGCCAGAGCGGCTGAAGAAAAAATACATAAAGTAAGATGGCCAGTGATAGAGAGATATGGAGAAAATGGAGGGAAAGGGTAGGGAGTGACACAGACAGCAAAAAAAGGAGACATGCAGAGAGCGAGGGAGAGAAGAGAGGAAAAGGGGTTCAGACAAGCATGAAGCGTCAACAATAAACGCTAACAAAGAAAATCCCAATAGAAGCATCAATCACAGTGCCACTTATCCCTCCTCCCTCCGATTTTGTCTTTATTGCAAGGTTTTACCCCATGCACCCTCCTTCTATCACCCTCTTCTCCTCCTTTCTTCCCCCGCCACTCCCACCACCTCATTCATCCATCCATACATGCATTCATCCATCTGTGTATCCATCTGTCCATCAGCCTCCAAACAACACTGACCCATCAGTGTCTGCCATCTCCTCTCATCCTCAACAATCTGCTTATTTATGCATCCATTCATCCAAACACGCAGAAAAACAGGGTTGTGTAATCCCAGGTACAATCAGAAGTATAGATGGTATAATTAAAATTCACTGCTTATCTTGTCATTTCCTCTGAGAAGAATGATATGGTATAATTAAAATTCACTGCTTATCATGTCATTTCCTCTGAGAAGAATTAACGAGGAAAATGGTCTATGTCAACTGTGGCACGAAATGTGTAAATTAAATGTTCAAACTGATCTGATGCTTTGCTGCTTTCTGCAGGACATGTATGCTGTCTTCTTTCTCTCTGCCCACAACACACACAAAGGAACCCCATGATACAGAGACGGATGGATGAACAGAACAATGGCAGAATAGCACATCTGATGAAAGAAAACTGAACAAATTGCTCTTCAGTCCTACCCTTCTGGCTTTGCGATTCATCCATGTTTTCCTCCATTCTGGCAGGTTACAGTCCTTTTGTCTCTATTTCGTGTGAAGCTGTTTAAAGCTAGCTCTCAGCACAGTTGGACGTGTGGATGTGGGAGGGTGTGTGTATGTGTTTTTTTCCCTCCCTGCAGATGATGGAAGCTCAGGGAAGTCCCCCTTTCAATGCTCCTCTCTCTCTTTACTCTCTTCACTACCTATCTGGGCTTCTCTAGCATCATATCTCTATATCTATCTACTTTATAGCTTCTATAGATTTCTATACACGTTTCTTTAACTAAAGAATATATTAGTAATAGAAAACCTGACTATACAGCAAAATTATAAATGATTTTCTTAATATAAAACTATTTTATTACAAAACATAGTCAAATATGATTTTACATAAAAATTAAACAGTCAAATAACTCAGCTAATACCTGATGTGAAGTGCTTTCATTTAATATGAAAACAAGTGTAACCCAGTTGATGTCAGTCTACACTGTCTTTAAGTGGGCAAGTTAGTCTGATGAGATCTAAGAACTGTACATTCTGACACAAAAAGAAAGCCCATATGTAAGGGAGGACAGCATGAAAACATCCTTAAAGAGCCCATGGCATGCTTTTCCTTGTTTTCTGACTTATCTACAATGTTACAACGGTGAATTCTCATTTTAAACATGACCTAAAGCTCAAAAAATGAGGTGTACGTATGTTCTAGTATTTCTATGCAGAAGTAACTTGGTTCATACACGTCTCGCAAACCCTCACTCCCAAGATTTTCTTTTCCTAACAAAATTAAGTATTACATGATAGTTTAAGGATCTCCTTAAATCCTTGAATGGTCATAATCTCCTGGCTGCTGTGTGTTCATGTGAGCTTGTCTGACATCCACTGGTGCCCCGACTGGTGCCTTGTTTGTTAGTATTTTTTTTCAATAAAGCTTATTGAAAAAAATCCATTCTTGCCATTGTAAAAGCGAAATTTTTGACTGCACCTGGTTTGTGGATATATTTTCCCTGCTGCTGCACTGTGACCAGAGGATGTGAAGAAAAATACAGGGCCTGAGGTTACTGCATGTCTGGGAATGTTCCTGTACAGGGACTCGATGTGATATGTGAACTATCCTCTCATTTTTAAGAGGAGGCTCTCGGGTTTTATCATTCTGAAATAATTACAGACTATTTGCAGTTATGATGGGTGCAAAGCTAATCTAGAGGTACCCAAGAATAAACTGCTGGAAATGAGCAAAATGAGCATGTCATGGGCTTTGTAAATGACAGGATTTATCTGAGTAAAATACACTGGAAAACATTAACAAAGAGGAGGGAGACCCGTCGAACAAGGTACAGTGCCTTGCGAAAGTATTCGGCCCCCTTGAACTTTGCGACCTTTTGCCACATTTCAGGCTTCAAACATAAAGATATAAAACTGTAATTTTTTGTGAAGAATCAACAACAAGTGGGACACAATCATGAAGTGGAACGAAATTTATTGGATATTTCAAACTTTTCTAACAAATAAAAAACTGAAAAATTGGGCGTGCAAAATTATTCAAATCCACATAAGGGATGACCCCGCAGGCAAATGGGAACCATGAAGAGGCCGCAAGGAAAGCAGCAACCACCAAGTACCTGCTGAGAGAAAGGCAAGTCCTGAGAAGTCAGCTGAATGGAAAGAACAAAGGAGGAGATAGAGGCCACTGACATCAAGACAAGGAAGCTCCTTACAATGCATGGCGGGTTTCACCCCAAGTCCAGCATCCTGAGACTGTACACTAAGCGGAAGGAAGTAGGCCAAGGATTAGTGAGTCACTATCCAGGATGAAACAACAAAGTTCCATGAATACATCAGGAAGATGGCCCCGAGTGATGATGTGCTTAGTGAATACCTCAGGCAGCAGAAACCAGAGGAACAAGGGAAGGAAGAGCAGGAACCCTCATGGAAGGACAAACCTCTGCACGGTATGTACCACCGTCAAATAGAAGAAGTGGCTGGTATCGAAAAATCCTAACAATGGCTGGACAAAGCTGGACTGAAAGACAACACAGAGGCACTAATCCTGGCAGCACAAGAACAAGCTCTAAGTACAAGTCTTGGATGTTGCTGTCTTTCTTTCCTCCTCATTGTAGTTCCCATGTGCCTGTGGGATACCAAGGTACTTGTAGGTAGTCTGTATGCATGCCATGTTGCCCCCTGGTAGTTCTAGCCCATCAATTTTTACCACCTTCCCTCTTCTTATTATCATCTGGCCACACTTCTCCAGTCCGAATGACATCCCGATGTCCTCACTGAAAATCCTCATCAGTCAATGCTCCTGTTCATTCTTGGCATACAGCTTGATGTGTAATGTAGAAGAGGTAGCTGATGGTAGCTCCTCTCCCGAACTTGTACCTGTACCCACCTCTTGTGGTGATCTGACTGAGGGGGTTCAGGCCTATGAAGAACAGCAGTGGGGATAGTGCCTCACCTTGGTATATACCACACTTGATGGTCACTTGTACAGTTGGCCCAGAGTTGACTTCCAGGGTTGTATAGTGCCAGGCATTCCCAGATCCATGGATGTGGCTTTGAGTCATTGGCTTTGCTGTAGTCAATCCAGGCTATACTCAGGTTGGTCTGTCTGGATCTTGAGTGATTGACTGCTTTATCTATCAAAAACTGGTGTTTTGAGTCTCTGGTGTTGTTTCTAGTGCCCTTCTGAGCTGTGCTCATGTACTGGTTCACGTGGACCTGTAGCTTGGCAGCTATGATGACTTATAGGGTCTTCCATGTTGTGAAAAGGCAGGTTATTGGTCGCCAGTTGGATGGTGCTGTTGTGTTAACCAGTCTGGATGGCAGCCTGCTGCTAGCAGTTGGTTAATCTCTGCTGCAGGGCTTTCATGCGCTGCTGTTAGCCAGTAGGCATGAATCATGTCGGGGCCAGGTGCTGTCCAGCTCTTCGTGTTCTTGACTAGCTACTGGATGTCTGCTACAGTGATGGTGGCTGGTTCCTGTTCAGGGAGATTCCTATGGTCTGCTCTCAGGTCTTGCAGCCACTGGGCATTGGTGTTATCTGCTTTCAGTGGCTCTGCTCTGACTGTATTGCTGCACTGTAGCTGGGAGTACACCTTGAATGGTTAGGTGTTAGGTATTAGGGTTTGGTAAACAGGGCATTTACCCTTGTAGCCTCTCTCTCTTTAGTGTATTTTTTTAGCCTTGCTGCAAGTGTTATGAACCTTTGTTTAGCAATCTCCAGGTGCCAGTCCCTTGTATTTTTCTAGCCTTTTTTATTCTTTATCTTCACACCTTTCTGTCCTTCCACCATCTGATTAACTTCTCTGAGTGGTCTTGATCTTACTTTCCAGCCTCATTTTCCAGGGGGGATATGTATGTACCACCCTTCTTCTTGATCATGTAGCCAACCATCTCTAGGATCACAGCAGCTGTTGCATACACCCATTCACTGGTCTGAGTTATGTTGATAGTAGCTAGTAAGGATTGTGGTGAGAGCTTTTTCAGCATCTGTTAGCATTCTTTCCCACTGAGCCTTGGTATTCAGATGTGGGGGTTAACTGTGGACAGTTTATCCATCATTTCCTGCATCATATCAGAGGCTGTGCCCTCCGGTTATATAGTAAAAAGCGGCCACCCTCAATCACAAGAGGAGCATGATGGCAATCCAATAGAGGAAGACAAAAAGCCCTCCAGGATAAGGCCATTAAAGAAAGAAAGAAATGAATAAAAGAAAAATAGACTCCCCAAAAGAAATGAATTCAACCTTAGAAACAATACACTGCATAAACTACAGCAGAATACTTTATAAAAGCCTCAAAAACTTCCTACAGGAAAAATTAACAGATAGATAGATAGAGCTTTTATTTAGATTTAGGCCCATTGGTGGCAAAGGCCTACATTGTATACAGTTCACTAGCTGGTAAGAGCTGTCCCCAGATGTGTCCTCGACAGCTGACCCTTTCAACTCAGAAATAATAACATTTACGGGGGACTGCACCCTAGCCATAAAATGTGGTGTGGAGTGGCTCCGCTATAAGGAGAAGCTCTTGTAGATGGGGATGGCATAAATCACATTAACCAAAGGTCTTTTGTTAACTAAAGGTTCATTCCAGAGAAGGGTCACAAGCTGATATGTGATAGTGTTTCTTTAATATACGGGATACAGTGAACTATTCTGAACTCTGTGCTAAGTAGTAATAAACGGATTGAGAGGTATCTGCTTTTTCTTCAGCAGAGACCAACCAGCTGTTAAAATGAAACTGCCTTTATTTTTTTCTGTCAGTGTTTCCATTGAATCATACAACTTGTATTCTGTGTAGGTGACTTAAAGGCAAGCTTCTCTTCAATGCCTGACAAAAAGTTTGGAAAATTGTAAGAGACTGATTTATGAAACAAATTAGAAATGTGAAGTTGTTGTTCAAGCATGATGGAGACTGTCCAATTTAAAGACTATAAAAATCCTAAATTGTTGCCTGTTCATGTACTTTCATCCACTGTCTGCAGCACTCTGAATATTCACCCTCCTGCCTGGCATGCGTGCCAGCTCCAGCAGTGGAGGCCTTAGGGTCAATTATACAGGGACAACCCCATCAGGACAAAAGACAACAGGTCTCCAGCTACTGATCAGCATTTTCCTGCACACCATTCAACATCTACTGTAAAAGATGCTCTTATCCACTATTTTTTGAGATTTTTGGAAATTTTGCCTGCTTTCAACCAGCTCTATTAATCAGATACCAAGGAAACTATGAGTATGAATTTAGGCCAAATAGGGCAGGAATAAAAGCATTTGATTGACTGTTGCTGTATTACTGATTTTGAACAATTAATACATTTTGCTGTTAGCAATAAACTGTAGTTAAATTTTAAGCTTCCTTGATTTTATTATAATTTGAGGAATGGTTTTTGTGTTCATTGTCTGTGATTTAAAATAACAGATTTTGTGTGTTTGACTCAGGTCAGCAGATGAAGGCTCTAGACTGAATTAACCATTTCCCTAGCAGTAAAATTATACTTGCAGATTACATACTTTTCAGCAACCATAACAGCAGTTATAATAAAGAGAAAGCTGTCCTTAAGTAAGATGTGTCATTAGTATCTTTAAGTTAGGCCAATAAGGGTGCTAGTGAAAATGTGGCAGGGGGAGGCCTTAGGAGGAAGAC